GCTGCGGGCAACGGGCGTGCGGCAGCTGCGGCGGCGAGCTGCGGGCCTGCGGGGCCACGGCGGGGTGCGCGCGAGCGGGCGACGGGCGGCTGCAGCAGCGGGCGCGTCAGCGAGGCGCACAGGCAGCGCGCGGGCAGCGTGCGGGGCCGCGCGTAAAGAAAACAGCCGCGCGCGTGCGGCTAGCGGGGCGCGCGCAGCGAAATCGACCGCGCGCGGGCGGCTAGCGGGATACGCGCGCTAAAAAAAAAAAGGTCGAGTCGCGCGCGGGCGGCAGGCGGGCTGCGCGCGCGCGGTAGGTAGGAGGCGCACGAGGGCGCGTAGGCGCACGAGGCGCACGGTAGGTAGGTAGCGGTGGGCCCTAAGAGCGGTCCTAGCGATGGACCTGCTCTGAAACCATGTCAGTAATAACGGACTGGAATGATGGACTAGCAAGGATGGTGAGTACAAATATGAAACCCTAATGTTGTGACCCCCCCATAGACTAACCCACTACAGCCTTCACAAATACAACATGTATAATGTTTGACAGTGCTAGCCAGAGGCGGAACACCTCGTAGGCTCTGTCGCGCGTCTCCACGTTCACGACCCATACATAGCGTGTTCCTGCGTCGATGAAGGTAAGCGTGTAGAGTTCGTCTTCGATTCCGCAATGCCCCACGTTCAGGAAATCGCTGTACACCTTGTGCAGCTTGGGGTATCGGTTGGTTCCAGGTTCGAGCAGCGGGAACGGTTGGTGGCTCAGCGCAGCTTCGGGGCAGACGGTGCAGTTGCGCGGATGTGTCGCGCCACTCACTTCGGAGCCATCAGGGCGCAGGAGTGCGCCAGGAGCGAAGACGCCAGCGTCGATGCAGTTTTTGAGCGTCGCGCGGGAAGGGTGTCCGAGGCGCTGGTGCCAGAGTGCATCATCAGCGCGAAAGCCGGAGGTGCGCATATAGCGCGCGCGCGCTTCCTCGGGGTCTTCGTCAGGTACAGGAGCAGGTTCTGCTGCTACTTCTTCTGCTTCTTCTTCTGCCGCGGTGGTCAGCATCAACGCCAAGAACTCTCTGTCGCGAATTTCAGAGAGCGGGATGTTGGTCCCAGGGATGGTTCCAGGGACAAGGGTAGGTTGGCGTGGTTCAGGGGCAGGTCCGTAGATAGTGCGACGCGGGGTTGACGGCTCGTTGCCCCAGGTAATGGTGTCCCACGGGTCGCGATGCGGGGGAATGTCTGCAGGAGGTGGTGCGAGGGGAATGCGGCGCGGGGGACGACCGAGAGGAACGACTGCAGGTGCTGCTTCGGTCTCCGCGGCTTCTTCCTCTCCCCCCCTTCGTTCTTCGCGGGAAGTGCCCCAGCCGCTATTGTCGGCGCCAGATGCTGCACCCCATCCGCCGCTCGCATTGGCCCAGGTCCCGCCGGTGTCACCCCATCCGCCAGTATCACTGGTCCCCCATCCACCAGCGCTTCCCCACCCCCCTTCATTGGAGGCGCTTGCTTCTTCCTCAGCTCCCCAGGCGGTGCAAGCGAAGGTCCCGCGTGCTTCCGCGAGGCTTTGCTGGCGAAGCTCCTCGGCTTCGCGGCGCGCCAGTTCTTCCTCCTGTTCCACGGCGATTTCGGCCGTGTGGTCGCGCCAATGGGGGTAAATCTTTTGAAAATCTTCGCGGGAGTAGGGTCGCGGCACGCCATGCGCATCGAAGGTGCCGACGCCAGTTCCGCGGAGCATCCCTCGAAGGTGTTGAGAGGGCGGACCGGCAAGAGGGTACTTAGGCGTGCCGAAGACGCCATGCGTGGTGACTTCAAGTTCCAATTGCGACATGCCTTCTTCTGGTGGCGCGTGATGTTCTGCTTCGGCGATGGCGGCGAGTCCGCGGCCGGCAATGGCGCTAGTTGACGTCGTCGGCGTGTGGCAGTCTTTGCACATGCCATCTGTGTCAGGGTCGTGCAGCGCTGTTTCTCGTGGGTGTGGATGATGTGGCACCCACGGTCTCCCGTCAGGGTGCTTCCAGTCCCTGCGGTGGATGTGCTCGAAGCGTAGTGGCACGAGATCGATTAGTTCGTGCGAGTCGCCGCTGCAGTCGGGGATGTCAAAGTCTAGGACGTACACCCCATTGTCGGAGTGTGCTCGTCCGATCTGCCGGCGGGGGAAGTTGCGCGCTTCGTAGTGCAACAAAATATCGCGCGTCGCGCGGTCCGTGCTGAGTTCGACGCCGCAATCCATGAGCTGTGCGGCGGACAGGAGGTTGAAGCGCAGGTTCTGGACGATCAGCACATCGTTGAGCGTGATGTGCGTGCGGCTCCCGCGTGCTTTGAGCACGACGATGCCTTGCGCGCTTGCGCGCAGGCGCGTGTTGTTCGCCACAGTGACATAGGTGGCGGTAGGAGTGGGGATGGCGTTGGATATGTAACGCTCGGAGCCCACCATATGCTGGCCGCAGCAGCTGTCCAGGTACCAGGTGTTGTAGCGCTTGTTGTCGTCACGGGCGAGCAGCGCCAGTCGCGGTGTGACGATGTGCGGAGTGTCGAACTTCAAAAATTGCTCGCGCGAGAGCCAATCAATTGGCGCCACCCGCATATCAGGTACGTGCGGGGGACTTTCAAGCAGCGGGACTGGAAGGTTCCAGTCTTGGTCGTCGTCGTCGGTGAAATCGTGGCGCGGGTTGAACGGGTTGTTGTTGGTGAACGCGCCAATGGGGTGCGGTGCCGGCTCGGGTGAAGGCGAGCGGGCACGGCGACGACGCGATTCGCTGGTCATGGCCATGTTGCTCATGACGTTGCGAGCTGGGGCAGTCGGTGACGGCTGCTGCTGCTGATGCTGAACCGCTGGGTTCAGGTTGCGCGCGGAAGGGGGCTGATACCCCTGGGCATGACGCGCGTCGCCTCGTGCGTCTTGACGGCCGGACCAGGTGCTCGGATTGGTCTGGCGAGGGCGGGATCGGTTCTTGCATCGATCCGCCAGATGCCCGAAATTTCTGCAGATTTTGCAGTAGAGGCGCCGTGGCTTTCGCTCTTCGGTGTTGTCGGCGTAGAAGGCGAGCCTTTCGCGTTCTCGTCGCGGCGCAGGTCGCTGCTGATCCATATCCCTCTGTTCGACGAGAAGGGCGGCGCAAAGGGCGGCCTCCGAGATGACCCCCTGCTGTCGAAGAAGCGCCTTGCAGGGCCGCCACTCTGGGCCGAGCCCTTGAAGCACGATATTCACGAAGATTTCTTCCGAAATCGAGCTTCCCAGCTTCGCGATTTGATCGCGAAGGCTTCGACAGCGATTGATGTAGCTGTTGGCCTTCTCCCCTGGGGCCATTTTTGTTTCCAGTAGCTGCTGAAGCAGCCGGCTCGAGGAGACGGAGTCCTTCGGCTGATACACACCGTTGAGGTGTCGCCAGGCTTCAAGGGCTGGGGCGGCCGAAGTCTTGTATGAGCGTATGCTCAGTTGCTCCGTCGGTGCCATGTTCCGCAGGAGCACCCCGTACGCCATTAGGGACTCGTTGTAGTAGCGGGTCCTGGCGTCGTCCGTGTCGTCGGCAGGCTCCGCGTAGCTCCCGTCGAAATAGTGAAAGATTTGGGCGTTCTGCAGCAAGAGCTCCAACTCGAAGCTCCAGGTATAGAAGTCTCTGCCGTCAAAACAAGTACTTGTCTTTATTTTTGATATGCTCAGAAACTTTGATTGAGCAGAGAGAATTGCCTCTTCACTGGGACGGGGAGCCTTGGGGGTTGAGCCATTGGTGTCGAGAGAGAATGTGTGCGGGGCGGCGTTCTGGCCAGTTGGGGCCGGTTGGGATGGTTGCGAGGATGTTCCCGCATCGCCGTTCCGCAATGTTTGGAGTCCTTGCTCCAGGCTGGTGAGTCGCTGAAGAAGTTGTGCGAGAACTTCGGTGCCGATCGTCGTCGTGTTTTCGCTTGTCGCAGCCGGGTTGGGTTGCGCTTCAGCCGTTAGATTGGTCTGACCACCAGATCCTCCGGCCATCTTCACTCGTGAGCGTGTGCCGGACGCCACTTTCCGAATGTCGCAATTTTCGGGAGTGGCAGTGCGAAGGATTCCTGAGCCGCTCTCATACCATGCTGAGATCAGAAGTTGATCGTAGCCCAGGATCTACTCAGGAAGGTTCGCACGTAGTGAGATAGTTTGGTGGGCCCTTGACCTCAATAGCAGAGTGAATGTAAAATGCTTTGAGATGAATAGAACATGCAAATACAACGATATAAATATGAGTACAGGGGAATACGAAGCGACCTGACTAGGGTACTCTAAGGGGTACATTCCCTTATTCGAATTCAAACCAACCGTGCGGCCCGAGCAGTTACGAAACTGTTCCCGCCAGATTCATCGTCCCTGCAGCTGCCCGATGCCGTTTTTCTCCGACGGTCTAGATCCACCCTAACCGTCTGACGCTTCGAGTCAACTCTGACTCCTCGCATTCGTTCTCGATACTGCATGCCTCTTTGCTGCGGTGAGGAGTGCACAGTAATATCAAGTATTACTATTCGTAACACACTCCCCACCCACCCACCCTAGTTGTACCAATATTTGTATGATCCATAGTTGGACGAGAATGTTGTATTACTGCAATTGTAATGAAGCCAGTTGCCTTTGCAAGAACAGAAAGCAAGCTTTCTCAATACAACGTTTTGCTTAGACGCAAAACGAATCAACGTTTAGCATTGGTATTTTAGATGCAATAGACTGCTGCGTAGATCAGAGCACTCTGTTATTCTTATAAAATTGATTAATTAGCTACACTAACAGAACGAATTGTAAATCTAGTAAGGCATGAAGGCATCAGGGATCCTTGTCCTGAGATCATTGCCATGCGTGCACCCATGCACCACAACACGTCACAGGCTGTTGGCAAGGCACATTGCGAGCTGGCAGTGGCTCTTGGCTTCCTCCATGAGCAGCGTCTCCTGATTGACAGCAGCGCCCACCATCTGCACGTCCGCACACACCCATCATGTCCTCCGTTACAGCAGCGCCCACTAAACATGTATTGTTTAAGAGGTACCAAAACTCGTTTGCTAGAAAGCGACAGATGTCACAAGCTATTGGCAAGGCGCATGGCCAGCTGGCAGTGGCTCTTGGCTTCCTCGAGGCGCTTCAGCAGCGTCTCCTCCTTCACAGCAGCGCCCACCATCTGCATGTCCACGCCCAGCAGCTGCACCACCCGCATCAACTCAAACAACACCTGCTGCCGGTTCACCGCGCCCCCCTTCCCGCCTTCACCACCCCCGCCTGCTGCTGCTCCCTCCGCCGCCAAACCATCCATCCCACTCCGCGGAACAGCCGCCGCGCCAGTGCGCACAGGAGCAGCAGCGGCAGCAGCGGCGCCACCCTCGCCTTCCTGCCGGAGCGCCTGCACCTCCTTCTCCACGCGCGCCAGAACCACCCGCCCCGCCGCCGCAATGCTCTGCCCCGACCCGAACGGGCGGTCCAGCAGCCCGCCGAACACAAACAGCACGTCGAGGATCGCCTCCACGCGCGTCGGCGCCGGCGCCTGCCACTCTGCCCTGCGCCGCCTCGCCTCCTCCAACACGGGGTCCGCCTCACCCCCCTCCTCCCCTCCCTGCTCCTGGCCTGGCTGGGTCCTTAGTGAGCCGTTCTCCCCCTCTGCTGCTGCTGCTGCCACCCTAACCGCTCGGCGCCCTGCTGCTGCTGCTGCTGCTGCCGCTGCTGCCGCTGCAGCGTGCAGCCCCATGAAGGCCCGGGCAGGGAGAGCGAGTGCAGGGGGGGATGCCGCTGGCCTGCCGCGCAGCGAGGCGGCGGGCTGGCGTGGTGCGATGGTGGGCGTGAGAGCGGCGGGCGGCAGAAGCGCGGTGTGTGCCATGAGTGCAGGGGTGAGTTGGACAGCTGCGGCGGTGAATGGTGAAGTGGAGAGGGGCGAGGAAGGGTGGATTAGGGTTACTGGCCAAGGAGAGAGGGAACAAGGGGTACAAGGGAAAAGAGAGGACGATTTCTCAATGGACTCAGGTTTGCGAGGTTCTCAAGTTTCGAGGCACGGGTGATGAACCTTGGGCTCGGGAAAGGCTTGGAAATGCCCTTGGCAGCTTCCAAACCCAAACAGTCCCTTGACTTTGGGATTCAAGAACAGAGACACGCAATTGAAATTGATTGTGAGAACTTGTGGATTCAAACGCGCGCTCACCCTCTCGCACACGGTCGCACTCACTCTCGTAACCACTCACCGACACTCAATAATTTCAACCGTTCTTAGACACACTCTCAGAGAACACATACGAACCCTCGCACTAACCCTCGGACTCGCACTCGCGCTCACTCGAACACCCACACACACACACGCACTCACACACGCACTCGCCCTTGCACTCACACTCGCGCTCACTCTCCTACTTGCTCTCGCACATGCCATCGCATGCACCATCGCACTCACACCAGCACTCATACCCGCAATCACACTTGTTCTCACCCTCTAACTCGCTCGCGCACTCGCTCTTCACTCAAAACTCGTCTTCGAAACTCACAGAAACACAAACAAAAACACGTGCACTCATCCTCGTACTCAACCTAGCGCGCACGCTCGAACGCACTTCCGCACTCCCCTTTGTACTCCCACCCGCGCCCTTGCACTCAACCTCGCACTCACACATATACTCTCACTCAAATTCACCCTCGCCCTCACACTCACTCTCACACTTGCTTTCCCACTCATCCGCGCACTCACGCTCGCACTTGCTCTCGCATCACCTTCGCAATCGCCCTTGCGCTCACAACCGCACTCACCCCCAAGTGCATGCGCGCATCTCACTCTCGCACTCGCACCAAGATTCACACACGCACTCACCCTCTCGCACACTCTCGCACTCAACTCTTGTAACCACACACACACTCATGCTCTAATCGCAAGTGTGCCAGCGCCCTAAGCGCAAGCGCCCACAGCGCGCACGGCGCTCTCCCTCCCACACGATCTTGGTGCTCCCTCCCTCGCTCCCTCCAGCTCTTCCTTCGATCTCACATACGCCCTCTCACGAGCACTCTCCTGCGTGCTCGCCACCGTGCGCACGCTCTCCTTCGCGCTCTCTCTCCCTCGCGCTCCCCCTCCCTCGCGCTCCCTCTCCCTCGCGCTCCCTCTCCCTCGCGCTCCCTCTCCCTCGCGCTCCCTCTCTCCCCCTCGCGCTCTCTCTCCCTCGCACTCCCTCTCCCCCTCGCGCTCCCTCTCTCCCCCTCGCGCTCCCTCTCTCCCCCTCGCGCTCCCTCTCTACCCCTCTTCAAATGGTAGTGCAATGCAAGAGGAGACCAATCGACGCACATAACCTACGAACGATGTGAGAAAGTTAGGAGATTTGAGAAAGGGGAGGGAGGAGAAAAGAACCAGGAAAGATCAACGCACCTGAGAATCACGGTGCCTCAGAGATCAACCCGCGCTCGTGCAGCGGTCGTCAGCGGCGACCTATACAAACAATGGGACGCTGCTTTTGAGATTGGAGGGAGGCATGGGCATGCATCCCCAAATGTCCAGGCAATCACAAGAGACTGCACTGGAGTTTTGGATGTATTTGCACCCTTTCGCACCCCTATGTACCTGCGCTTTCGTGTGGCGGAGACAAAGGGATAAAGGGATACCGGAATAAGGACGCGTCAACTCCTGCAAATTTCGGCGATCGATCCTGCGCAGGTTCGAATACCTCGGTTAGAGGTTCTATTAAAACTTGGAAGCAAACGCGGGATTTCAGTGCCTTGGCCGATCGATTTTGCAGGATCAATCGCCGATTTTAGCAGGAGTTGACGCGTCCTAAGCCTTTTACAATGTAAGAAGATGTCTCATGTGACTGGTCCGCCCCGGCCTGGTCCATTGCAAAAAATGCATGCCTGGTCCACAAATCTGGTCCGACGGACCCGCTTCGCGGACCAGCCGTGGACCAGACACGAGCTGGTCTGCATGATACATCGCCTCACTGACTGTACAGAACTTGCGACAAGATTCAGTAATGACGAAAATCAGGAATCTTGAAATCGAGTTACCTCCTCTTTTGGCCCGGCAAAAACACCCATCCCGTCACGCGCGACAATCGCGAACGGCAGAAAGTTTCGCAAACAGAGTGAGAGCTGCTACAGTTACGGACCAGGCGCGGGCTGGTCCGGCGATCAATAAATCACTGGCACCGTTGTAGTGCCATTCGAACATTTTATCGCGGTTAAATGCCCCGCATCTCGGTCCAGTCCGTCGCTGGTTCACGCGACGGTCATCGAGCTGGTCCACCGAATCCGCGTCGGACCCACGTGGACCAGCACGTTTGAGACACGTCCTAAGAACTTATTATTGTTCTTACATCATTAACGCGACATCTGGTTTTGCTAATTCATTACAGCAATGCAAATGATGTTGTGTCTAAAAGAGAACAAAACTAACAACTCTAAATCATCAATACTAATTTGGCAAAAAAATACCATCTTAATTTCATCAAAAGTACTATTCGCATAATAATTACGATATGAAAATAGCCATATGGTTGCATTTGTAATTACGAGATGCATCTAACCATATAGTTGCTTTGTTGACAGTTCTGTTTGTTTCGAGAATAGCGAATGCTTCCTTCTCTGCAGGTTGCAGGGTGGAAACCACCGCCTACTTATTTCATTTCCAGAGCTCACCACTTCTCTCGACCCCTCCCTCCATCCTCTTGCGCTGCCCTCGCTGCCCTCTCTTGCCATTTTCTCACCATCCCGCTAGCTTATTTCTCTTCTGGCTTTTCTGAGTAGACATTACTCTTGCTGTCCTTTTTTTTGCAACTCGTAACGGATGGAACCAGGCGAGGCGGAGAACCAGCCGTTGATTGTTCCCGGCTTCGACCGAGGAGAGGCAATGGCAAGTAGCAACCGCGGCGGCGGCTCCTCCTGGAGCGTAGGATCATCGTCAGCTGCGGCCGTAGGTTTGCCTACACCACCGCCCGCATTTGAAGCATCGAAACCGTTGGATTAGCACCAGTGACAAGGTCAGAGCTGGCACGCGTCCGCAACTTGATTGACGACACGGTGATTGCCCGTTATTACTATAATTATTATGATTTTTATTAATTTATCTCTTGACTGGGTGGATGAGGTGAGGAATGGAAGTGGGGGAGCGGGGTGTTCCCAGTCCAGCGCGGGGCAGCGTTGTTATTATGGCTGCCACTGCAACTATCATCTGGGGCACAGTGCCTTCGCTCCTTGAACGCCACGCTCGCTGTCGCCTCCGTGAGGCCACGCGGGCTGCTGTTCTACATTGCCACGCGGGCTGCTGTTCTACAATGCCACGGGGGCTGCTTTTCTACATTTTCGCCACGGTCGCCGTCGCCGCCTTTTACCTCGTGCCTGTCACTCCTGTCGCGTCAAAGTGTTTCTCCCGTCTGCTCGCGCGTGCCTGCAGGATGGCGGGCAAGCTTTGCCGTGCGGCTTCCTGGACAATGCAAAACCTCGAGCGAGAGTCACATGGCGGCGTGTTGCTCGCAAGTTGAGGCACCTTGGTGTTAAGGCACCTTCGTGTTGAGGCACCTTGGTCCGCGATGTTCCTCTGGTACGCCTGGCGCTTCCCCTTCCTGCCCTCCCTTCCTGCACTCCCTTCACCGCGGGTCCAGTGACGATCATGCCTTTCGGGGCGCCCATGTGATTCACCGTGAACGAAGCAAACACAAAACGACTTCTCCTTCTTCTGAGGACCCCCTCCATCACCCTCCATGCTCGCATTGCCTCTGCCGTACCCGAAACCCTCATGTGTTTCTGGTTGTGTGAAGCTATTCTCCGTTGTTGCCTGATGCCTCTGCGTGCATTGCGTGGCGGCCAGCTGATGAGAACCATAACCGGTGCATGATGAGATGCGTGCGTCAGTGAATGCCAAGTTAACTCTAATTTTTTCCTGATGGCTCGCCACGCCACAACGCCGCAGCCCCGCTTGTCTTTTCTCTGCTGCTCGCATTTGCCTGTCCTTGCGCCGCTGCAGCTTGCATGTGGTAATGCCGCCCAATTCCATGGTTTCGGGTTTAAGGTTTGCCTCAGGGATGACCCAAACATTCAAGCTCAACAGGCCCGAGGCCCGCCCTCCCCCTTACGGGGTGGGGGCAATCACGGCCGGTGACGGTTACTCCGCTGATCTGAGAGGCACCGCACGCTCTTTTGCATTTGCTTTTTACTAGCATGAGTCCGCTTTGTTGTCTTGTCTCGCGTAGCTCGCTCACGTGCGTCGAAGGACCGAGTTGGAGCGCATCGGCCTTGCGGCATCGCGCGCTCCTTAGTTTTCCTTCGCATAGCCAAGGCGTGCGGCCATTATAGCGGCGGGGTCGGGCCCCGCACGTCGCGTCAGCACGCCCTCCTGCCGCTCTCGCGGTTGGCTGATCTCGCGGATGCCGGCGGCGGTCGGCCTCTGCCAGTGCGACCCACTCGTGGTTGTCGCCCGCCGTCGGTGTTGGCGAGACGCGGCTCTCCGCGCGGCGCTTTTGGGCGCCTGGCGCGGCTGCACCCTCTGTGGCGCCGCCGCGTCGGAGGCCGCTCACACCCCTCGTCTTCATCCCTCCGAACGGCCCACTTCGTAACGGCCTAGCCCACGGCTTTGCGAAGAAACGTATTTTGTTGTATTGTGCTCTTGTCCGCCGCATTTCCCCCCCTCTGAATTCACAGGCTCTCAACTCCCGCACAACCTGAGACTGTTTCTCACGTCACTCTCCGCGGGGCCTTTTGTAGTGTTGGTTGCGCTCGGTCCCCCTCGAGCATCACAGCAAGCGCTTCTAGTGAGTGCGCTACTCAGTGCTGGCGGATTCCGCGAGCGAGCAGCGCGATGGGGTGGGTGGGTGGGGAGCGAGCGCGCTTGTTACCAATGCCCTGGGACTCTTTGTTCCCAGCGGTCACAATGGCTTAAGCGCCACACCATGGGCCGCGGGCCCGCGATGGAAATTCTTGCTTTGGGGATACCGCTGTTCCTCTGAGCCGGGAAAGCCATGGCACATTCACCCACCCCCGCAAAGATCCGTCTTTGCTGCAAACAACCTTGTGCTATATTGGCGCTTTTCAACTCCCTTGAAGAGTTAACACGCAAGGCAAGGCGTAGCGGTGGTTGCAGGGATGAAGCTCAACGGTTTCAGACTAGAGTTTCCGAGCCTCTGGCGTTGACGAGGACTCCTTTGGCTGTCTGAGCAACCACCAACCCGCTTTTCCCTCGCTGCTTCAAACGCGTTTCTCTTGTAGCCCGTTTTTCCCTTGTAGCTGCTGTAGACGCGTTTCCCTGGCCGCCCTGATAATCCCGGCTGTGCCCGGCGCTGTCTCAGCGGCGGTGGCATGGTCGTTTCATGCAGGGCGCACACCAACCGCCCGCCTCACGGCTGGGCGCCGGGGTTTATTGCTCATGGGCGTTTTCTGGTCGGTGGTGCGAGGGCCTTGTGGCTCTCGTGCTGTTGCCTCCATGGATGTCCCGTATAATACACTTCGACAATTTCTGCAATGCCTCTAATTTAGTTATCTGTTTCTGCTGCTTTGCAATTCAGGATGGCGTACACTGCAAGCAAGGCAACACTCGATGGCTTCGACACTTTGGTGTACCTCTCACTGTAACACAGTTTGCTTCTAGTGTAAATGTTTTTTCTAGTATTTCGTTCCTGTGTAACTCGATGTGGTATGAAAATATGTTCGAGACAATCCAGTTACAATGAGGATCTCTCAGGTTTGATTGCAGATGTTTGGTTGTGTCAGTGGAGGAATTGCACTACAGGTTGGATAAGAGAACCGTAGATGCAGTAGTGTCTATAACAGAGATACATAACCCGGAGGTTAAGAAAATACCCTGGAAGATAAAGGGGCCGGGCAGTAGCTCACTGCACACTTGTTACCACATAATTGCTTAGCGCATCAGGGATTTTAAAATAACCAAGATTGCTGCCGTACGGACTTGCGAAATGCCTGGCCACGATACTGCCACCTGGCAAATAACCCCAGGACACATTTCCTCAAGAGTGTTCTTTGATGCAATTGCATTACTTCACAGGTTGCCATACACATCTCATTACATTACACATGGGTTTTATAGAACTGTGGTGCGAGCTCCGGCAACCAGAGCGCATCAATGCAGGTGACACCACGTGCATACATCCTGTTGGTGCGAACCATTTCATTGAACACTATGCAGTCCGGCAGATGTGCACGCGCAGGCACTGCCATTCTTCTTTACACATGGGTTCTATAGAATTGCGGGGCAAGTTCAGGCAACCAGAGGGCATCAATGCGGGTGACACCGCGAGCATACAGCCGGTTGGTGCGAACCATCTCATTGAACACTATGCAGTCCGGCAGATGCGCACGCACAGGTGCGGCTGCCTGCTGCTCGCCCCCACTCTTGCTGCTCTTGCTGCGGTTGCTGCCGCCGCCCCCTCTGCTGCCACCAATGGTGCTGCTGCTGGAGGCGGCGCCACTGAAGAGAACCGACGATGGGTGGATTGCCACCACCTGCCCGCTGGCTAGTGCCCTGGGAGGAGTGGGGTGGGGGGGAAAGAGGAAAACATATGCCTTTGTTTAGATGTCTCAATTACCCCCAATAGTGCTGCTGCTGGTGGTGGCGCCGCTGAAGAGAACTGAGGATGGATGGATCGACACCACCTGCCCGCTGGCTAGTGCCCTGGGAGCAGGGGGGGTTGGGGGGCGAAGAGGAAGAATGCCCTTCGTGAGATGTTTCAAGAAGCTGCCACAGATGGTGGTGGTGGTGGTGGTGCTGCTGCTGCTGCTGCTGGTGGCGGCGCAGCTGAAGAGAACCGAGGATGGGTGGATCGCCACCACCTTCCCACTTGCTAGTGCCCTGGGAAGGAGGAGAAAACGGGGGAAGGAGAGATGGCCGAAAGGAGGGCAGAGGATACAAGCACTGGTAAACAGGTGGTGGGTGAAGTGTTGAAGAGTGCAGGCAGCAAGGGTAGCATACCCTGGATAGCACAGCTAGGAGCAGCAGAACAAGTGTTGGAACGCCATTGCTCAGAGTACCTTCTCCACTTGCTGTGCTGATTAAGAGGATTTTCAGGGCAGTTTGTGCATGATCGCCCATCCGTGCACGTGTGAGGCCAGCATCACGCACATGCCTCTGCACATCTGCATGCACCACGCCTTGCCCTCCCCTCCCTTCCTCACAGAGTCTCTGTCAGCCCACCCACAGTACCTGTACGTGCCGTCGGCTTGCTTCTTGGCAGCGTTGGCAAAGAAGGCTGCTGTCAGCGCCCGGCGGAACGCAACTGACTCGTCCCGCCGTTGCGCTGCTGCTGCTGCTGAGCCTGTGGCGGAGGGTGATGATGACGACGGGGGTAGATGCGAGTGGGAGGCGACAGGCAGGGAGAGGCCGTGACAGTACGCCTGCAGTTGCCTGTAGTGCACACAGGCAGGAGGGGCATGCAGGCAGGAGGGGCATGCAGGCAGAAGGGGCATGCAGGCAGGAGGGGCGTGAGGAACATAAGTAACCAAGGAAGCATGCTTCCCACCCTTACAGACCCCCAAAACAAATAGAAACAAAACCCTGTTGACATGAACACATGCATTCCCTGGTCTGCCCTATTCTCACCGGTACACGTCTGCTGCCTTTTTGAGCGAACGGTGTTATTGAGAATTCTCAAAAACACCCTTCAGCATCTGGTCTGCCCTATTCTCACCGGTACACATCTGCTGCCTTTTTGAGCGAACGTCCATTGAGGTAGTGTGCCTTGCACCAAGCTCGCACCCTCCCCTCCTTCGCCTTTGCCTGCCGGCCAAACCCCTGAACCACACCGCCACCACTCCCACCGTTGTTGCTCCCATCGCGTGCCATGTCAGCAGCCTCGGTGTTTTGGCTGCCCGCTGCCAGATAGCCCCGCAGCACGTTCACCAGCGTGAGATGGTCGCCGTCCGGGCAGAAAAATCTCTTCCGGGCAGCATGAGCCTGTGGGAGACGCAACAGTTTAGCGTAAAACATTTTTGGGATCTGCAACGGATTGAACAGAGTAAATGGACGGTCATGAAAGAAAGGCAATAGGCAATCATGCAACTCTCATGACCTCTCATGTGAAAGAAAGGCAGTCTCATGCATTTCCATGTATGGCCATATCATGTCATCGTGACTCAGATCATGCCACGTCAGCACGAGATCGGCCATGTCACATGAGCAAAAGTGCCATGCCACGTCAGCACAATCACGTCAGCATCAGCATTACCTCAGCAGCAGCGTGAGAGGGCGTGTGGAAGGGCGAGTCCACGGAGAGCATGGCCACTGCTGCCACCATGTCGTCCGCCACACCTGCTGACCCCAGTCGATACGCCTCCAGGATGGCCTGAAAGTGTGGTAAGGGGGGGAGCAAAGGGGAGAGTGGCAGAGATGACGATGAGCATAATGGGTGCGAAGAATCGGGAGGTACGCCGCCATTATCGCCTAGGAAGAAAGAGGGGTTGAGGGCGAGCCCACGGATAGCATGGCCACTGCTGTCACGCCCTGCAGTATGGTCTGGACAAAGTGGGAAGGGAGAGGGGGGGGGGAGAGGAGGGAGTGGACACTGACCGCGATGAGCATAATCACTTAGAAAGAGGGAGGTTGAGGGCGAGTCCACGGATAGCATGGCCACTGCTGCCACCATGTCGTCTGCCACCGCTGCTAACCCCAGTCGATACGCCTCCAATATGGCCTGTGAAGATACAACGGGAGAGAGTGACACTGACGGCTGTGAGAAAAATGTGCATGGATGACGGGTGTGGTGTGGTGTGGTGTGGTGTGGTGTGGTGTGGTGTGGTGCGGTGTGGTGTGGTGTGCTCACTACTCCCTCCATGTCGTCCGCCACCCACTTTGCTGACCCCAGGCGGTATGCCTCCAGTATGGCCTGGTGGGGCAGGAAGGGAAGCAGATGAGAGGGGCACAGGGATGGGGTCGCTTTTGAGAATTCTCAAAAGATGAGAGGGACACAGTGATGGGCGTGGGTATAGCGAGCGTGGAGGATGGTAGCGGTTGCTGCTGCCTCCATACCGTCCGCCACCATTGTTGACCCCAGGCGATACGCCTCCAGTGCAGCCTGAAGGGGCGGGGAGCGGGGAGGAAGAACGGGGAGAGAGGAGGAAGAACGGGGAGAGAGGAGGAGGAGCGGATGAAAGGTAACACTGATAATGGTTGCTCGCTGCTCGCTGCTCGCTGCTGCCACCATGCCGTTTGTCTGAGCCAAGAACATGTTCTGGGCCGCTGAAATGAAAAAGCGAGGAAAGGAGGTGGTTTACATGGATTGTGGCGTAGACAGGACAGGACGTATTGGTGTGTGTTGTGTTCAATTCAACCATGTCTGCCCGCCCCCACTCACCTTGCCATAGGCAACCGGCCATAGGCCAAATTTGGGTTTGATTGGGAATTGAGTCAGTTGCTCCTGCTGCGGCCATAGGCACCCGCCCACCCACCTTGGCATATACAGGGTCGAGGGGGAAGCGCGCCATGTGTTTCCCCTGTGGTGACAGCCGTGCACTGCCCCACCCGCATTGGCATACACCTGCGAACGCGCACCCATGCACCTTGGCATTGACTGGTGTGCACCCACCCACCTTGGCATAGACGGAGTCAAGGGGGAAGCGCGCCATGTGTTTTCCCTGTGGCGACAGCATAGGCACCCACCCCCACCCACCTTTGCGTGACCCACATGCACCCATGCCCACCTTGGCGTAGACAGGGTCGAGGGGGAAGCGTGCCATGTGTTTCCCCTGTGGCGACAGGCTCCCCTCTGGTGTGAGCGCTCCCAGCGAGAACAGATGCTCCAAAGCTCGCAGTATGGCCGCCCTGTAAGGGGGAGGGGGAACAGGAGGGAGAGAAGGGGGAAAAGGAGGAAAGAAGGATGAGAGAGTGGTAGTGCGGATGGATGGAGGGGGGTGCGGGTCATAAACCTCAGAGGTTTTAGTAGAGGGGGCACTGGAGGAGGCTGGAGAGAGCGATGCGTTGCATTGCAGCATCACAGCGCTGCTAGCTGCAGGAGCACGGACGCAAGGCCTTCAGGGCCCTGACGGCCGTTTCCAGCACCTGCAGTCCTGATAACAAGTCAAGGAGAGACACAAGAAGCGACTCACTGTGGGGGTGGGTCGAGGAAGGGGAGGGAGAGCAGGTCCTTCACGCCCAGAGCGATGAGTTGCAGCACCACAGCAGCAAGGTTGCAGCACATCAGCATGGACGCAAGCCTGCCTTTCCCAACGCCTGCAAGCCTGAACAACAACAGCAAGTGAAGCACTCACTGCGGCGGCGGGTCGAGGAAGGGGAAGGAGAGCAGGTCCTTGACTCCGAGCGCGATGAGCTGCAGCACCACAGAGGCAAGGTTGCAGCGCAGCATCTCCGGCACGGGCGCCTCTGGCAGCGCCTCAAAGGTGCCTTGTGTGTACAGCCGGTAGCACTTTCCTGGCGCCTCCCTGCCCGCCCGGCCACTGGGAGGATCAGCAATGGTGTGTGGGGGGTTGATATCAAGGAGGCAAGGGGGGATGATGAGAGCAAAGCAAGCGAGGGATGGTGGTTGGTTGGTGGATGGTGAAAGTGAAGGCACTGAGGCAGCAAGGTTGCAGCGCAGCATCTCCCGCACGGGTGCCTCTGGCAGCGCCTCGAAGGTGCCTTGTGTGTACAGCTGGTAGCACTTGCCTGGCGCCTCCCTGCCCGCCCGCCCCCTGGGAGGGAGAGAGGCAGGATGGCAGGAGGGAGAGGTGGTGTGAGGGAGGTGACGCTGATGCTCGGTTGGAGAGGAGCAGTGTAGAGCGGTGGGTGCAGCAAGGTTGCAATGGCAGGAGCAAGTCGGTTGTGGCACTGTCAGTGATGCCTGGCTGTTACAAAGGGAGCAAGGCACCTCATGCAGTGCCCCCCTCCACCTCATGCAGTGCCCCCCTCCACCTCATGCAGTGCCCCCCTCCACCTCATGCAGTGCCCCCCTCCACCTCATGCAGTGCCCCCCTCCACCTCATGCAGTGCCCCCCTCCACCACATGCAGTGCCCCCCTCCACCACATGCAGTGCCCCCCTCCACCACATGCACCCGCCTTCTCTTCCCATCCATACCCGCTGCACCTCCCTCCGTCCACGCATGGCCCCCACATCTCCCCCCCCATGGCACACCCCCATGGCACACCCCCATGGCACACCCCCATGGCACACCCCCATGGCACACCCCCATGGCACACCCCCATGGCACACCCCCATGGCACACCCCCATGGCACACCCCCATGGCACACCCCCATGGCACACCCCCATGGCACACCCCCATGGCACACCTCCTCTGTCGAGCCTGTGCTATGGGGAGACGGGCACAACACAAAGCGAATTCAAGGGCATTCACTGCCTGCTCTGCACTGCACTGCACTGCACTGCACTGCACTGCACTGCACTGCATGGCGCTTACCTCCTCTCTGCAACCATGCCTCCCACCCCCCACCTCCTGTGTGCGCCCATGCCCCCTTCACCACGCACCTCCTCTGCCGGGCCTGTGCCTTGGACACGGGCACAACGACCAGCGAGTCCACACCAGTGCGGCAGTTGAACGCCCGTGCCTTCACGAGCCCTGCGTCCACCACGAAGCGAATCCCCGGGATGGTCACAGAGGTCTCTGCTATGTTGGTCGCCAGCACGACCTGGGGGAGAGGAGCGAACGGCGTGCAGAGGGTGGAGGGTGGAGGGTGGAGGGTAGATGTTGGGTGCGGGCAGAAGGCAGTTGAATGCCCGCGCCTTTACTGACGTGGGGATCCGCTTTGAGGTTGAATGCCCGCGCCTTCACGAGCCCCACGTCCACCACAAAGCGGGATCCCCAAGATGTTCACTGACGTCTCTGTTATGTTGGTGGCCAGGAGGACTACCAGGAGCAGTGACGAGGGCGGGGTGGACAGTGGTGGGGACGAGGGCGGAGGTGGGGGAGGAAAGGGACGTCAGGCAGTGTCAAGGGGATGTCGAAATAATCACTGACTGCTCGGTGTTGTTGGCAGACGACTTTTGAGACCTCTCAAAAGTCGAAATGATCACTGATGGCTCGGTATTGTTGGGAGACGAGGTGGAGAGGGGGAGAAGGGGTGAGTGGGCGAGTGGGGGAGGGAGCGAGGCGGAGAGGAGACGAGGCAGGGGCGCTTTGTCCACATCAAAAGCCAGCCATGGTGAAAAGGGTCGGTGCGATGGTAGTCGCGTGGCGGCCCGAGCGGTGGGGAGCACTGGATGAGTGGAGAATGGAAGGAAAGTGCGAGGGGATGAAGTGGGGAGGGACGAGCAGAAAGGAGCACACAGCAACACACATCTAGGTTGCAATTGCGACGCAGAGAGACAGGTAGCATGTTCGAGATATTCGAGATCAAAGTGGTCACACCTAATGTGGTCACACCTAATGTGGTGTGGTCACGCCTAATGTGGTCACACCTAATGTGGTCACACCTAATGTGGTCACACCTAATGTGGTCACACCTAATGTGGTCACACCTAATGTGTTCACACCTAATGTGGTGTGGTCACACCTAATGTGGTCACGCCTAATGTGGTCACACCTAATGTGGTCACACCTAATGTGTTCACACCTAATGTGGTGTGGTCACACCTAATGTGGTCACGCCTAATGTGGTCACACCTAATGTGGTCACACCTAATGTGTTCACACCTAATGTGGTGTGGTCACACCTAATGTGGTCACGCCTAATGTGGTCACACCTAATGTGGTCACACCTAATGTGTTCACACCTAATGTGGTGTGGTCACACCTAATGTGGTCACGCCTAATGTGGTCACACCTAATGTGGTCACACAAATCAGGCTAAATCAACGTGCATTCCCAATCCAATCCAACCCAGCCGTTCACCCTAAGTGCCCACCCCCTAACCCCCAACCCACCCCTCCACCCCGCACCGCACTGCACCTTTCTGCACCCGACGGGGGCGGGGCGGAACACGTTCATCTGCTGCTCCGCAGGCAGCGCCGCATAGATGGGCGCCACAGCCAGCGGCGGCGTCCCGGGAGGAAGCTTCGCCGCACGTTCCTGCAGCAACCTCGCCATGGCCTCAATATCCTCCTGCCCCGTGAGAAACACGAGAATATCCCCCGCCAGCCCCGGCGCTGTACCCTCTATAGGATGATCCGTGTGTATCTGTAACACGGTTACCAGCGCTGCGTCGAGGAAGTCAGGTTCGGGGGTGGGCGTGTAGAGCACCTGCACGGGGGAGAGTGATTTTATGCTGAATATGTTTTTTTTTCAAAGAGTTTGAGAATTCTCAAAAAAACAAAGTCAGGTTTGGGGGCGGGTGGGTGTGTAGAGCACCTGCACGGGGTGCTGCCTGCCGCGGATGTACACTGCATGCGCGCCGGGGAAGAAGTCGAGGAACTTGCGCGACTCCAGGGTGGCCGACATGACTATCAGCTTCAAATCGCCCTCACTTGACCTTGCACCCATGCATGTGCCAGCACCTGTGTCTACAGCCGCCTCTGCAATTTGCCCGTCCGCCTGTTTGTCTGCTTCTCCCTCCCTGCCCTCCTCTCCTCTGCACTCCTCTACTCTCTGTCGCTTCTTCCCCTTCCGCCCCTCCATGCCCGCATCCTCCGCCTCCCTCCCACCGCCCACCACCTTCCCCTTCTGCCCCTGCCCGCCCGTCCCTGCACCCGTCCCCCCTGTGGCGAGCGCGTGTCTGCGGGCCTGCACCTGCTGCAGCAGTCCCAGCAGCACGTCCGTGTTCACTGTGCGCTCGTGGGCCTCGTCCACCACCACCACGCCGTACCTCCTCAGAAGAGGATCCAGCAAAGCTTCCCTGTGGGTCCAAGAGTGAGGAATTGGGGGGGAAAGGGAGATTGTGTACATCCCTGTTCACAGTGCGCTCGTGAGCCTTGTCCACCACCACCACGCCGTACCGATCTAAATGAGGGTCCACAAGTGCTTCCCTGAAGGTTGTGCCATTGGGAATGTGGAATGGAAACAGGGCGTTTGTCTTGTGCAGTGTGCACCGGGGTGTTCACTGTGCGCTCATGGGCCTGGTCCACCACCACCACGCCATAGCGCCGCAGCAGAGGATCCAGTAGCGCCTCCCTGAAGGTTGTTGAGGGGGAGGGTAAAGGAGGTTGAGTTGAAGAAAGGGTGTTGCCCCAGCGGCACGTCCGTGTTGACGGTGCGCTCGGTGAACCTCATTCACCACCACCACGCCGTACCGCCTCAACAGCGGGTCCAGAAGTGCTCCCCTGAAGGTTGTGACATTTTGGGAATGTGGAAACAAGGTGGTTGTCCTGTGCTGTGCACCAGGGTGTTCACTGTGCGCTCATGGGTCTCGTCCACAACCTCCACGCCAGAGCGGCGCAGCAGAGGGTCCCGTAGCAGTTTTCTGAACGTTGTGGAGAGGGGGGGAAGGAGGTTAGAAAAAGGGTGTTAGTCTTGTACACCAGGGTGTTCACTCACTCTGCGCTCATGGGCCTCATCCACCACCACCACTACGCCGTAGCGCGCGCGTCAACGGAAATCCAACAAAGCCTCCCTGTGAGTGAGTGGGTTCACGAGGAGGCACGGGGGGTAAGAGCGGCGGGGCGGTTCATGAGCCTCCCTGGAGGCTCACAGCACCCACCTGTGAGCTGTAGATTGTTTTTTAGAATTCTCAAAAACAATCCACAGCACCCACATGTGAGCTTGCCCACCACCACTAAATAGCAGCTCAACAGAGGGTCAAACAGAGCCTTCCTACGCGCTCACCACCCGCGGGGAGAGATGACAGCACCCAGCGGTGAGTGAGCCTCGCCTCGTGCAGCATCACATCACCCGCTGTAGCAGCACAGCATGGAAGGAGAGAAGGTCCAGTAACGACGAGACAGGTTGCACTTGCACAGGCGCACATGCTTCAGACAAAGACCTACCAAAGCACCTATCTGAGCATTCACCTGAGCCCAACTAACTAAGCACCATCTTAGGCCACACATGAGCAGCATGCCATCCGTGAGGTACTTGATGCGTGGTGACTTGAATGGTTACCTGAGCCCTACCCTACTATGCACCAAACCTCATCCTTCACCTGAGCATTCGATCAGACCCACAAAACACCACCTTATTCCTCACCTGAGCACCGTAGCCCTAGAAAGCAACACACTGGCCCCACAAAGTACCATCCTACAGAACACCACCTCACCTCACCCCGCACCTGAGAAGCATGCCATCCGTGAGGTACTTGATGCGCGTGTGAGAGGAGGTGACGTCCTCAAAGCGCACGCTGTACCCCACCTCCTGCCCCACGCCCACCCCCCTCTCCTCCGCCACCCGCGCCGCCACCGTCACTGCTGCCACTCTGCGCGGCTGTGTCACGGCGATGGCCTGGTGTGGGGCGAGCAGGCCAGAGGAGAGAATGAACTGGGGGAGCTCTGGGGGGAGGGAGAGGGAGAAAGGGAGGGAGAGAATCAGTGGGTGAGTCTCTGTCACTGCCACACGACTTGCCTTGGCTGCGTCGCGGCGATGGCCTGGTGTGGGGCGAGCAGGCCGGAGGGGAGAATGAACTGTGGGAGCTCTGGGGGGAGTGAGTGGGAGGAGGCAGGGGGGGAGGAGGCAGGGGAGGGGGAGGAGGCAGGGGAGGGGGAGGAGGCAGGGGGGGAGGAGGAGGCAGGGGAAGGAGAGGAGGCAAGGGAAGGAGAGGAGGCAGGGGAAGGAGAGGAGGCAGGGGAAGGAGAGGAGGCAGGGGAAGGAGAGGAGGCAGGGGAAGGAGAGGAGGCAGGGGAAGGAGAGGAGGCAGGGGAAGGAGAGGAGGCAGGGGAGGGCGAAGGGAAGGCTCTGGGGGCGAAGGGGAGGTGGGAGGGATTGGGAGAGGCGTGGTGGTGATATGCAATGGAACGATGGCCTGGACTGGGTGCTTGGACGGGATGCTTGCTTGGCAAGAGGTTAGCAAGCAGAGAGGTGAGGGGAAGAGAGGTAAGCGCGGAAGTGAGAGTGGGAGAGGGCGGCGAGAGGAAGACTCCCGAGGGTGCTTGAGGAGGCGGATTAGGGAGGTTGAGAGGGAAAGAGAGGGCAAGAGAGGGCAAGAGAGGGCAAGAGAGGGCAAGAGAGCGCAAGAGAGGGCAAGAGAGGGCGAGAGAGGGCAAGAGAGCGCAAGAGAGGGCAAGAGAGGGCAAGAGAGGGCGGTGGTGGGAGGGACTCACGAGTGGTTTTGCCGCTGCCAGTCTCGCCCACCACCACGAGCGTGTGTGCCGCCCGCACCTCCTCCACCAGCTGCTGCTGCACTGCACCACAGCGCCACAAGGACCATGCACCACAGGAACAGGGGCCATCCACCACAGGAACAGGGGCCATGCACCACAGGAACAGGGGCCATGTACCACAGGAACAGGGGCCATGCACCACAGGAACAGGGGCCATGTACCACAGGAACAGGGGCCATGCACCACAGGAAAAGGGGCCATGCACCACAGGAACAGGGGCCATGTACCACAGGAACAGGGGCCATGCACCACAGGAACAGGGGCCATGCACCACAGGAACAGGGGCCATGCACCACAGGAACAGGGGCCATGCACCACAGGAACAGGGGCCATGCACCACAGGAACAGGGGCCATGCACCACAGGAACAGGGGCCATGTACCACAGGAACAGGGGCCATGCACCACAGGAACAGGGGCCATGTACCACAGGAACAGGGGCCATGCACCACAGGAACAGGGGCCATGCACCACAGGAACAGGGGCCATGCACCACAGGAACAGGGGCCATGCACCACAGGAACAGGGGCCATGCACCACAGGAACAGGGGCCATGTACCACAGGAACAGGGGCCATGCACCACAGGAACAGAGGCCATGTACCACAGGAACAGGGGCCATGCACCACAGGAACAGGGGCCATGCACCACAGGAACAGGGGCCATGCACCACAGGAACAGGGGCCATGTACCACAGGAACAGGGGCCATGCACCACAGGAACAGGGGCCATGCACCACAGGAACAGGGGCCATGCACCACAGGAACAGGGGCCATGCACCACAGGAACAGGGGCCATGCACCACAGGAACAGGGGCCATGCACCACAGGAACAGGGGCCATGTACCACAGGAACAGGGGCCATGTACCACAGGAACAGGGGCCATGTACCACAGGAACAGGGGCCATGTACCACAAGGGATAAGAGAGCATTGCAGGGCTTTTGAAACGTCTAAAAACTCGTGTGCCCGCACCGACTCCACCAGCCGCTGCTGCACTGCCGTGGAGGGGGTATGTATGTAGCACAGGGCATTGGAGTGGAGAGTAATGGAGGGTAATCAAGGTTACTCACGAGTATTGGATGAAAAAAGTTGTTTTTAAAGGGCAGTGGAAGGTATTAGCGGGTACTGAGGGGTGACGTCCCTGTAGCCACTGGGAAAACCTTGCCAGCCGTGGGCGATGGGACGCAGTACCTGCAGCCATGGGATTGGCTTTCCTGCAAAGTACGAGCCATGGGATTGGCTTACCTGCGGAGGTACGAGCCATGGGGACGCCCTACCTGCGGAGATGGGGAGCTGCTTCGCCATTTCCCTCGCCGCGCGCATCCGCGCCTCCCGCTCCGCGGGGCCGATGCCCGCGCGCACCTCCCGCTTGCCCATGCCGCCCGCCGCTCGTGATCACAGAAACTCTCGGCTCTGGGTTTCGGGGTTCGGGTTTCCGGGTTTCACAAGAGCTTGTGGTTGAATATCAAAGAGAGCGGGCGAATCTGAAAGTGCTGGATTCCGTCCCTAACTACAAGGCAGGAGAGGGCGCAACGCAGGCGCGCTGAACAGGGTGTGTGTGCAGTGTGCGGGGGGAGGGGGGGGAAGTGCAGCCGCGGCGCTAGTTGCCGGCCGCTGCAATGCCGTTTAGTGCCGGCGTGAGTCGCTGTCGTTTTCTTGCGCAGAGTGGCAGCGTCGCTAGCGGCCCTAGCGAATTCTCTTTATGCTGCTGTGGATCAGCCGTGCGACGAAACCTCTCAGTGCTTCTCCTCGATTGGCTTGCGCGCGGGATGTACGGAAAGAGTGCGCGTGTCGCACGAATTTTTTCACTCAACCGTTCCGAACAAGAAATAATCGTACTGGTTTGCGAAGCCCCTAAATTGCGACTTTCGCCAGAAAGACGTGCGCGTCGGCTCTACGTGAGTACGGGTACTAATACTCGTTCGTTTTTTTTTGTTTGGATGTTTGCACTATAAAAGTGAGTACACCCACAGTCGTAACTGAGACTAATACTCGTTTGTAATGTTCGCGTTGCATGGATGAATGAACAGAAACAAGTGGTGCACGACTCAACGTTGATACCACATCCATTTTCCTTAGGGCGCGGTGCTTTTGATGCATTTTGACTGAAGTCTGAGCCTCAACCACCTTGAGCCGTGAATAAAGGCGCATTCCTGTGTGGACACAAATGTCTCAATCCCCCTTTTCCCGAGTCGCGTCGTAACATTTTGTCAACCTCGCGTCACAAAAAAGGAATGTAGCGCGACACTAGGCGACCAGGCGAAATGTACAGTTGTGCGCTTTTGATTGGGTTTCGGAATTGACTGTACACCCGTTTCTTCAAACGCTCGGCTGGGGTGTGGTTTCGACGCGCGGGTTTTTTTCCCGCACGAAATTGGCCTTGGGGGATGTTCAGGTGCATTGACATTTCGAACCGCGTGCGACATTTTACCAGTGACGGGTCAATTTGCAACTCGTCCGCGACGTCAGCGCGTTTCACGCTGACCAATGAAAAATACAGTAATGGTCGCTAATACCGATTCCGTTTGTGACATAATACGTTTTATGCTGTTTTTACGCGTCACAATAGGATTGAGACACAAATGTCCACACAGGAATGCTCCCTAAAACTACATATGTATCTTACCGTGTTAAACCTTTCTGCAAATTCGAATCAGTGTAGTTCAACTCTAATGCACCGCGGCCTTTAGTCATTACTTGTAGCAATTGTATTTCCTCTGCTTCCAATTTCCTTACACAGCTCACACCTCCATTGTGCTGTATGAACTAATTAATAATACAGTACCACCTGGATAAGGAAAACACAACATGAGTGCAGTGCATGTTCCTCGTCGTGAAGTCACACAAATGAGGAATACGGTACCGATGGCTCGACCTGGTACAACTGGATTGGATCCAATCATGATGCAGTGATGGTCCGCCTGAGCAATCAAGAAGCCAGCCAGCCACATGGTTCCTTTCCTTGCTCATTATCTGGATCAAGGGACAGAGACCCCACCCCAAACATCAAATGCCTTACTCACAAATCGCCACTATATACAGCAAGCACATCGGGCAGCGCTGCGTGGAGAGGAAGGAGCAGGTGGTTCGTGCAAGAGGGCAGTGGTGACCTTGGGGTACACGCCACTCTGCTGTCGAGCTGCCCCTGTCAAACATGTATGCTGCATATTGTCTAGGCTGTAGTGGGGTAGCCCATATGGGGTACAACCAAATTAGGGTTTCCTACTTGTACTCCTGCATGCTGTTAGTTTACCATTCCTGCTGCCAGATTCTAACATGGTTTCAGAGCACTAAGGTCCGTAGGACCGTTTTTTTTTTCGGGCCCACCTACCACTGCGGTTACCGCGCTACCCCACGTACCTGCCTGCCTTGCCTTGCCTTGTGACGTGCTGCACTACGCGAGCCGTCCAGCAGCCCTAGCGCTGCCTCCTGCTGCCCTAGGCCAGCGCGCTGCCCCTAGAGGCCCGTAAGGCCCGCGCACCGCCCCTACACGCCCTTCAGGCCTGCGCAGCCCGCACCGAGCCGCGCGCAGCCCGCTGCTACCGCGAGCTGCCCGCACCGAGCCGCGCGCAGCCCGCTGCAGCCGCGCGCAGCCCGCACCGAGCCGCGCGCAGCCCGTTGCAGCCACACGCAGCCCGCACCGAGCCGCGCGCAGCCCGCTGCGGCAGCGCGCAGCCCGCACAGAGCCGCGCGCAGCCCGCTGCAGCCGCGCGCAGCCCGCTGCAGCCGCGCGCAGCCCGCACCGAGCCGCGCGCAGCCCGCTGCAGCAGCGCGCCGCCCGCGTCGAGCCGCGCGCGGCCTACTCCTGCCTCGCGAGGCCCGCGCGCCGCCCGCAGCAGCCCGCGCCAAGCCGCGCGCGGCTCGCCACTACCTAACGCGGCCGCGCGCGGCCTGCAGCAGCCCAGCGCGCTGTCAGCGCAGCCCGCGCCGAGCCGCGCGCGTCCCTCTGCCTCGGCCCCGACCTGCCGCTGATACGGCCCCGCTCTGCAGCTGCCACGGCCCCGACCTGCCGCTGAAGCGGCCCCGCCCTGCAGCTGCTTCGGCCCTACTCTGCACCGGGTGTTGCGGCCCCGACGTCGCCGCTGTCGTGCGCCTACTCGGCCGCCGCCCGTTGAGCGCCGGCCCTGCTCGCCCGGCGAGCGCCTGCTCTTCCAGCCTTTGGTGAGCGCCTGCCTGCCTGCCGGCCTGCCTGTCTGCTTGCCTGCCTGCCGGCCTGCCTGCCTGCCTGCCTGCCTGCCGGCCTGCCTGTCTGCTTGCCTGCCTGCCGGCCTGCCTGCCTGCCTGCCTGCCTACCGGCCTGCCTGCCTGCTTGCCTGCCTGCCTGCCTGCCTGCCGGCCTGTCTGTCTGTCTGCCTGCCGGCCTGCCTGCCTGTCGGCCTGCCGCGCCTGCCCTGCCCGCGCTACTGCTGCTGCTACTGCTACTGGCCGGTGGCCAGATGCAGCCCCAGCGACGTTCACGTGAGCCTCTCACGCCCCAGCAGCTTAGTGAGTGGTATACTAGCTGGGGTTGTCGCGGTAGCAGTCGTAGCTGTCCCCCTGGAGCTGGTCAGTTGGGAGCGTCTGGCAGTGGCCAGCTGCAGCTGCAGCGGCGTCCTCGCGAGACACTTACGTCCCGGCAGCTCCACGAGTGGTACGCTCAGTGTAGCAGGTCTACGCGTACAGTTCGCTGCCAGTACGTCATTCGCACAGGTGATCGGGTTGGTCAGCCTTGCGGGACGCTTGGTCACACACAGTCCCGCTGCTTCGCCCGTCTGAGCGACGACTGGCGTACAGTGTTTGGCGACGAGGCTGAGCTCCCCGACTGGCTGGAGCTGCTTGGACGGAGGGTAGATATCTTTGCTCTTGACTATGATGCTATTCTCACTACCATGTATGCATTGCCTACTAGTGTTGACCGTGCCTGTTACCTGTGCGTCCCGCCTGACCCTGGTATAGCGCCTGCTGCTCTCGGTACTGGTGAGGCTGCTGCCCTAGGTGCTCGTGCGTCTCCTCCTCTGGGTACTGGTGAGGCTGCTGCTCTAGGTGCCGGTACGTCTCCTGCTCCAGGTGCTGGTGAGTCTGCTCTCTCTGGGTCTGCGCCTGCTGCGGCCTTGTACACCTTCACGCTTGACTCAGGTGCTTCCCGCTCCTTCTTTCGCGACTGTACCACACTCACGCCGCTTAGTCGGCCGGTTCCAGTCTCCCTGGCGGACCCCTCCGGGGGTCCGGTCCTTGCCCACTACTCCACGGTTCTACCGTGTCCGGCCGCCCCGTCTGGCTTGCTGTCAGGTCTTTACCTCCCCTCGTTCTCTACGAACTTGGTGAGTGGAGCTGACCTCCAAGATAGGGGGGTGCACCAGTTCACTCCTGCGAGTCAGCGAGTGACTCACTGTACGTGTGCTCGGACCGGCCGACACCTGGCCACGTTTTCCCGTGCGCCTGGCTCGAGTCTGTACACCCTGACCACTGAGTCCCCTCAGGTAGCTGCGCCTGCGTCAGGTCAGCCGACGGCCCCCTGCGAGTGTCGCGCTTTGTCGCACCAGACCCTCCTGTGGCACCACCGCCTTGGTCACCCCTCGGTGCAGCGCCTTCGTGGCATGCACTCTCGCTTCCTGGTTTCTGGTCTTCCCAGGTCTTTGCCTGCCCTGCCTCCCTCGCTTGCGCCGCCCTGCATTCCTTGCGTCGAGGGGCGGCAGCGCGCCGCTCCTCACTCCTCCTCGTTCCCTCCCACAGAGGCTCCCCTGCAGACTCTCCACCTGGACGTGTGGGGCCCCGCCCGCGTCCGTGGACAGGGCCACGAGCGGTACTTCCTGCTGGTTGTTGACGACTACACGCGTTACACCACGGTCTTTCCCCTGCGCAGCAAGGGGGAGGTCCCTGCTGTTTTGATCCCTTGGATCCGCGCTGCCCGTCTCCAGCTCCGCGAGCGGTTTGGGACGGAGTTTCCCGTCCTGCGTCTGCACTCTGACAGAGGTGGTGAGTTCTCCTCAGACCTCTTGGCAGCCTTCTGTGCGGAGCACGGCATCACCCAGTCGTTCACGCTTCCGGACTCTCCGCAGCAGAATGGGGTTGCTGAGCGCCGCATTGGCTTAGTCATGGAGGTCGCTCGTACCTCCATGATCCATGCGGCTGCCCCCCATTTTCTGTGGCCGTTTGCGGTCCGGTACGCCGCGCATCAGCTCAACCTCTGGCCCCGTGTCTCCTTGCCGAAGACCTCGCCCACACTGCTGTGGACGGGGAAGGTTGGCGATGCGTCGCGTTTCCGGGTCTGGGGTGCTCGTGCCTTTGTCCGCGATACCACTGCGGACAAGCTCTCCGCCCGTGCAGTTCCCTGTGTCTTCCTTGGCTTTGTCCCTGACGTGCCTGGTTGGCAGTTTTACCACCCCACCTCGCGCCGTGTCTTTGCGTCTCAGGACGTCACGTTCGATGAGTCGGTTCCCTTTTACCGTCTCTTCCCCTACCGCACTGCCCCTCTCCCTCCCCCGCCGCTCTTCCTCGCTCCGGGTGCTCCCCAGGTAGACCCCCTCCCCGCTCCCGGTCCTGCTCCTTCAGGTGTGTCTCAGGTAGACCCTCCTCCCTTCCCTGCGCCGGTCGAGGTCACTGGTGACTCAGGTCCTACTGGGGGTGGTCCTGCTCGGGGTGCTACTTCTGGGGGTGCTGAGCCTGGGGGTGCGGAGCTTGAGAGTGTGGAGCCTGGAGGTGCTGAGCCTGCGTGTGAGGGGTCTGGAGGTGCTGGAGCTAGTGGTTCTGGGGCTGCTGAGGGTGCGGGCGCTGGAGGTTCTGGAGCTGCTGGAGGTCCTGGTGCTGGTGGCGCTGGAGCTGGTGGTTCTGGGGCTGCTGAGGGTGCGAGCGCTGGAGGTTCTGGAGCTGCTGGAGGTCCTGGTGCTGGTGGCGCTGGAGCTGCTGAGGGTGCTGGCGCTGAGGGTTCAGAGTCTGCTGTTGCGCGGTCTCCTTGGAGTAGCCGCCTTCGTCCACGTGTGCCTCTCACCTCTCAGCAGCTGCACGACTGGTACGGTCGCCGTCAGGGTCGCGCTGCTGGAGCCCGGGGCTCTACTGCTGGAGGTACTTCTGCTGACGTCCCTGGAGCTAGGAGTGGTGCTGGTACTTTGTCTACTGGAGGTGCTGGAGTCGCTGGTCCCGGAGGTGCTCGTACTGGAGGTACTGGAGCTGCTGGGGCTGGGGGTGCTGCGTCTGGAGGTGCTGCTGCTGGAGACACCGAGGCTGGAGACCCTGGGACTGGAGGTGCTGGTTCTGGGGGTGCTGCTGCTGGAGGCACTGGGGTTGGAGACCCTGGGCCTGGAGGTGTCGGTTCTGCTGCTGGAGGTGCTGGAGGTACTGGAGCTGCTGGAGCTGCCGGTACTGGTGCAGCTGCGCCGCCACGACTGTTCTTCGCTCCGCCGTCTCCGTCGTCTCTGCCGCCGCCTGACTCTGTTCTTCGTCATGTTCTTGCTCTCCCGTCGTCTACTGGTCTTCCGTTACAGCCTGGCTCACCGCTGCCTGCTCCTTCTCCTTACACTGAGCAGACAGGTAGTCTTGCTGAGCGTCGTGAGCCTGCGTCGCGTCTAGTCACGCCTGTTCGTCCTAGTCGTACCGGTCGTCGTGTTCCTCGTCCGCGTCAGCCGGCTGTCCCCGGCACACGCCTTGTAGCCCTGCGTCGGTCCCCTACTCCGGAGCGTACTCCTCTTCCGTCTCCCCCTGCGTCCTCTTTGCCTGTCGTCGCGGACCCTGAGTCTGACCGGTTTCGTGCTGAGCACCCTACTGTCACGCGTCTGCTAGCCACAGTTGTCACTGACCCGTCGTTTGAGTCTGCTGCTGCGTCTGCCTTAGTCGCTGAGCTTGTTGACTTTGCTGCTGCCTGTCGTCTAGACTACGCTGCTAGTCTTGTTGCTGAGTCTGAGTCTGTCTGTCCTCCGTCCGTCGGGGGTGAGTGTGCCCTTGGCACGGACGTCCTTGAGGACAGGCACGAGGACCTTGAGTCTCTTGCAGCCGCTGCGCCTCATCTCGTGGCCATGCTGCTTGCCCCTGAGGGAGACCCGGATGCTATAGACATCCCCACACCGCGCTCTTACGCTGAGGCGATCGCGGGTCCCTACTCCTCTCAGTGGCAGGCAGCTATGGACGCAGAGATGGCATCCTGGAAGTCCACAGGCACTTACGTCGATGAGGTTCCCCCTCCCGGGGCGAACATCGTCGATGGCATGTGGATTTTCAGGGTGAAGCGGCCGCCAGGTTCTCCGCCTGTCTTCAAGGCGCGTTACGTTGCTCGAGGCTTCAGTCAGCGAGAGGGAGTTGACTTCTTCCAGACCTTCTCTCCTACCCCGAAGATGACTACTCTTCGGGTGCTGCTGCACGTTGCCGCTCAGCGTGACTACGAGCTTCACTCCCTTGACTTCAGCACAGCTTTCCTACAGGGCAGCCTGCACGAGGAGATCTGGCTGCGCCGCCCACCTGGCTTCACTGGGACGTTCCCTCCTGGTACCCAGTGGAGCCTCCGCCGGCCAGTCTACGGTCTCCGCCAGGCACCCCGTGAGTGGCACGACACACTGAGGACTACCCTTGCGGCTCTTGGGTTTGCGCCTTCGACTGCTGACCCTTCACTGTTTCTACGCACCGACACTTCGCTGCCGCCGTTCTATATCCTCGTGTACGTCAACGACTTGGTCTTTGCTACTGCTGACACTGAGGCCCTCGCCCTGGTGAAGTCCGAGCTGCAGAAGAGACACACGTGCACAGACCTGGGTGAGCTGCGCAGCTACCTTGGCTTGCAGATCACCCGGGACCGAGCACGTCGCACCATCACACTGACTCAGTCACACATGGTGCAGCAGGTCCTTCAGCGCTTCGGCTTCACCTGGTCCTCAGCACAGGCCACTCCTCTGGCTATAGGTCACTCGCTCTCAGCTCTGCCTTCGGATGAGTCCGTAGAGCCGAGTGGTCCTTACCCAGAGCTAGTGGGCTGCCTCATGTACCTGATGACTTGCACTCGTCCTGACCTTGCGTACCCTCTTGGCCTTCTGGCTCGCTACGTGGCTCCTGGTCGGCACCGAAAGGTGCACTGGGATGCTGCGAAGAGGGTACTGCGCTACTTGTGCAGTACATCGGGCATGGGGCTCGTGCTTGGAGGACGGCGAGAGGTGGTCCTCACTGGGCACTCAGACGCTTCTTGGGTTGACGACCAGGCTACGCAGCGGTCGTCACAGGGTTACACTTTCAGCCTTGGCTCTGGTTCTGTTTCTTGGCGTTCTACACGCTCGTCTTCTGTTCTGAGCTCCAGTTGTGAGGCTGAGATCTACGCCACCGCCATGGCTGCTCAGGAGTTACGCTGGCTCACCTACCTGCTGACCGACCTGGGAGAGCGGCCTCGTTCTCCTCCAGTGCTGTACGTCGACAACAAGGCTGTCATTGCCTTGTGTGAGGAGCACAGACTGGAGCACAGAACGAAGCACATCGCTCTGCGGTACTTTCTGGCTCGAGAGCTGCAGCAGCGTGGTCAGCTTCGTCTTGCACACGTGGCCACTAGGGCCAACACTGCTGATATATTCACCAAGGCACTTCCGTCTGGTGATCATCAGCGCTTTTGTACTTTGTTAGGCCTTGTGCCTACGTTTCCACACTTGCTGTAGTCTTTTGTGTGTACTGTGTTCTATATTTATACCTGCATGCTTGCTCTTGCTAGGTATTGATCACTGTACTGCTCTTGTTGCTTATATATATCTCTGCATGTGGACTGGCCTTGCGGCCCTTTGCTTGTGCTCAGAATGTGTGGTGACGTTGAGATCCACCCTGAGCTTGCTTTGCGTCTCTTGACTGGTCGTGTGACCCCTTGTTCTCCCCCACTTTGCCTATGGGGGTGTGTCAAACATGTATGCTGCATATTGTCTAGGCTGTAGTGGGGTAGCCCATAGGTAGACTAGAGAGTGGGCGGGTCGTGCAGGAGCACTGTGGTGAGGTCTGTGACTTTGGGGTATGCCGCCCTGCGGCAGGGCTTCAGATTCGTTTTGGGCCACCCTTAGTAATCAGAGTCTGCAGTCCAGCTGCCCCCACTGCCTTTTGAGGCGCCTCGGAAGGACGAGCATGGGATAGTCCTAGAGGACTATAGCGACGGTGGGTCGTGCAGGACTGCAGTGGTGAGGTCGGTAATCTTGGGGTACGCCACTCTGCCGTCCAGCTGCCCCTGCAGCCACAGCAGCATCCTCAGCACACTCGGCAGCTTTGGATCTGACGCACAGAGAGAGGCATGGACGGGGGGTTGATGAAGGGCAGAGGGTGGACGGGAGCAGAGGGTGGAAGGGATGGGTAGGTCAAACACAGGCTGCAGCCACAACAGCATCCTCAGCACACTCGGTAGCTTTGGATCTGACGCACAGAGAGGCGAGGAGGGAATTCACGTTGGGGGGAGAGGGAGGAGGAAGGGGGGGAAGGAGGAACGCAAGGGAAAGGAGTAAGGAGGGGAAGAGGGGAACGGGAAAAGGAGGGGAAGAGGGGAACGGGAAAAGGAGGGGAAGAGGGGAACGGGAAAAGGAGGGGAAGAGAACGTGAGGGAAAGAGGGGAAGCAGGAAAGGGGGGGAAGAGGTGAACGTGCAAAGCTGCGTAAGATTGGGATATGGAGGGAAGGCACGAAGAACAGAACCACACTGCAAGCCCCGCAGGAAAGCATTACCTGCAAAGGGACACATGGGGCCTGTGGGTTTAAGCGTTTTCGTCAAAGACTCTGTCAAAATCCCCACAGGAAGGCAGGCAGGGGAGAGATGTGCATGTAGGTACTCAGTACGCAAGCAACCGGGGGTGTGTGTGGATGCAGCAGCACTCAAGGGGATCTGCTGCATAGGAATACCCGGGACGGGGCCTGTGTGCACTCTACTGCTCAATTCCTCCCCCCCCTCCTCTCCCCCTCCCTTCTACACCGCACTGCACCTCTTGAGAGCCCTCCAATCCCTCTGCACTCCACGTGCTTGCAAGCCCATGGTAATCCGCACAAGAGTGGGAAAGGTTCGGCTCGCCGTCCCACCCATCCCATGCCCCTTCATATTGGTCCAGATCAGCCTAGCAGCCCCTCCATGTATCTCGCCTTTCCCTGTCGGGTGCCACTGCTCTTCCCCATATCACCACCACTGCTCTTCCCCATATCACCACCACTGCTCTTCCCCATATCACCACCACTGCTCTTCCCCATATCACCACCACTGCTCTTCCCCATATCACCACCACTGCTCTTCCCCATATCACCACCACTGCTCTTCCCCATATCACCACCACTGCTCTTCCCCATATCACCACCACTGCTCTTCCCCATATCACCACCACTGCTCTTCCCCATATCACCACCACTGCTCTTCCCCAGATCACCACCACTGCTCTTCCCCATATCACCACCACTGCTCTTCCCCATATCACCACCACTGCTCTTCCCCATATCACCACCACTGCTCTTCCCCATATCACCACCACTGCTCTTCCCCATATCACCACCACTGCTCTTCCCCATATCACCACCACTGCTCTTCCCCATATCACCACCACTGCTCTTCCCCATATCACCACCACTGCTCTTCAACATATCACCACCACTGCTCTTCCCCATATCACCACCACTGCTCTTCCCCATATCACCACCACTGCTCTTCCCCAGATCACCACCACTGCTCTTCCCCAGATCATCACCACTGCTCTTCCCCATATCACCACCACTGCTCTTCCCCATATCACCACCACTGCTCTTCCCCATATCACCACCACTGCTCTTCCCCATATCACCACCACTGCTCTTCCCCATATCACCACCACTGCTCTTCCTCATATCACCACCACTGCTCTTCCCCATATCACCACCACTGCTCTTCCCCATATCACCACCACTGCTCTTCCCCATATCACCACCACTGCTCTTCCCCATATCACCACCACTGCTCTTCCCCATATCACCACCACTGCTCTTCCCCATATCACCACCACTGCTCTTCCCCATATCACCACCACTGCTCTTCCCCATATCACCACCACTGCTCTTCCCCATATCACCACCACTGCTCTTCCCCATATCACCACCACTGCTCTTCCCCATATCACCACCACTGCTCTTCCCCATATCACCACCACTGCTCTTCCCCATATCACCACCACTGCTCTTCCCCATATCACCACCACTGCTCTTCCCCATATCACCACCACTGCTCTTCCCCATATCACCACCACTGCTCTTCCCCATATCACCACCACTGCTCTTCCCCATATCACCACCACTGCTCTTCCCCATATCACCACCACTGCTCTTCCCCATATCACCACCACTGCTCTTCCCCATATCACCACCACTGCTCTTCCCCATATCACCACCACTGCTCTTCCCCATATCACCACCACTGCTCTTCCCCAGATCACCACCACTGCTCTTCCCCATATCACCACCACTGCTCTTCCCCATATCACCACCACTGCTCTTCCCCATATCACCACCACTGCTCTTCCCCATATCACCACCACTGCTCTTCCCCATATCACCACCACTGCTCTTCCCCATATCACCACCACTGCTCTTCCCCATATCACCACCACTGCTCTTCCCCATATCACCACCACTGCTCTTCAACATATCACCACCACTGCTCTTCCCCATATCACCACCACTGCTCTTCCCCATATCACCACCACTGCTCTTCCCCAGATCACCACCACTGCTCTTCCCCAGATCATCACCACTGCTCTTCCCCATATCACCACCACTGCTCTTCCCCATATCACCACCACTGCTCTTCCCCATATCACCACCACTGCTCTTCCCCATATCACCACCACTGCTCTTCCCCATATCACCACCACTGCTCTTCCTCATATCACCACCACTGCTCTTCCCCATATCACCACCACTGCTCTTCCCCATATCACCACCACTGCTCTTCCCCATATCACCACCACTGCTCTTCCCCATATCACCACCACTGCTCTTCCCCATATCACCACCACTGCTCTTCCCCATATCACCACCACTGCTCTTCCCCATATCACCACCACTGCTCTTCCCCATATCACCACCACTGCTCTTCCCCATATCACCACCACTGCTCTTCCCCATATCACCACCACTGCTCTTCCCCATATCACCACCACTGCTCTTCCCCATATCACCACCACTGCTCTTCCCCATATCACCACCACTGCTCTTCCCCATATCACCACCACTGCTCTTCCCCATATCACCACCACTGCTCTTCCCCATATCACCACCACTGCTCTTCCCCATATCACCACCACTGCTCTTCCCCATATCACCACCACTGCTCTTCCCCATATCACCACCACTGCTCTTCCCCATATCACCACCACTGCTCTTCCCCATATCACCACCACTGCTCTTCCCCATATCACCACCACTGCTCTTCCCCATATCACCACCACTGCTCTTCCCCATATCACCACCACTGCTCTTCCCCATATCACCACCACTGCTCTTCCCCAGATCACCACCACTGCTCTTCCCCATATCACCACCACTGCTCTTCCCCATATCACCACCACTGCTCTTCCCCATATCACCACCACTGCTCTTCCCCATATCACCACCACTGCTCTTCCCCATATCACCACCACTGCTCTTCCCCATATCACCACCACTGCTCTTCCCCATATCACCACCACTGCTCTTCCCCATATCACCACCACTGCTCTTCCCCATATCACCACCACTGCTCTTCCTCATATCACCACCACTGCTCTTCCCCATATCACCACCACTGCTCTTCCCCATATCACCACCACTGCTCTTCCCCATATCACAACCACTGCTCTTCCCCATATCACCACCACTGCTCTTCCCCATATCACCACATCCTTCTATTCCCAATCCCCCTTCTGTGTTTTGAGTCGACTCAAAACACACCTGCAATCAACCTCCCCACATCCTTCTATTCCCAATCCCCCTTCTGTGTTTTGAGTCGACTCAAAACACACCTGCACTCAACCTCCCCACATCCTTCTATTCCCAATCCCCCTTCTGTGTTTTGAGTCGACTCAAAACACACCTGCACTCAACCTCCCCACATCCTTCTATTCCCAATCCCCCTTCTGTGTTTTGAGTCGACTCAAAACACACCTGCACTCAACCTCCCCACATCCTTCTATTCCCAATCCCCCTTCTTCTCCTGCCCCTCGCAATCTCGCTCATCATCCACCCACGTGCCCTCGACCTCTCAACTTTCCTCCTCCTCACCTTTTCCCTCCCTCTTATCCCCCTCCCATCTACCCCCTTCCCCCCCTTACCTTTCTCGTGGCCCTGGCTCGCCAGGATGGCGGCGTTCAGCTCAGCAGCCGCCTTTTCGCGCTGACTCACGTCCAGCAGCTCTGCCAGCGAGGAAGGTGCTGACGTGGCAGGGTCCTCAAACGCCAGCAGGGCAACGGTGCGCTCCAGCTCCTCCAAATAGGCTGCCTGTTGAGCACAGATGGGGGAAGGGTGGAGGGAGGGTAAGGGTAAGGGGAGGGTGGGGGCAAGGTTAAGGGTAAGGGGAGGGTGGGGGAAAGGGCAAGGGTAAGGGGAGGGTTGGGGGGGGGAGGTAGAGTTAAGGAAAGGTTGGGAGTAATAAAAGGTTGAGGAGATGATGGGCAGAAGCACCTCCCTTTCTCCTCCCTCTGCTCCTTTCTGCTCGTCCCTTCCTCATCTTCTCACATTCTCCGTGATTGTCCCCACTCCCACCCACTTCCCCCCCCAATATACTCACTTTCTTCTCGCCCCAGGGCGCCAGCTCCTCCTGTGCCAAGTCAAGCGCCTCGTCCACCCAGCAACACCTCCCTCCGTCTTCACACTCCCTCCCGCGTTTCCCCTCACAACCCCCCTCCCCCTTCCCCCCTCCCACCCCAACCCACGTTCTTCTCGCCCCGGGGCGCCATCTCCTCCTGTGCCAAGTCAAGCGCCTAGTCCACACAACAACACATCCCTCCGTCTTCGCACTCTTTAACCACCCTCTCAAAAAACCACCCCCCCTTCCCTTTCCCTACCTCCCCCACTCACGTTCTCCTCCCCCCGGGGCGCCAGCTCTTCCTGGGCGAACTCCAGAGCCTCATCCACCCGGCCGGCACGGATGAGCTCGATGAGGCGCTGCTGCTGCAGGCGGAAAAACACCCCCGCGCCCGTGTCCAGGATCTGAGGGAACAGGGGGAGGGAAGGAGGGGGAAGGGGGGAAGGGAAGGAGGGGGAAGGGGGGAAGGGAAGGAGGGGGAAGGGGGGGGGAGGAGGGGGGAGAGGGGGGGGGGGGGAGGGGGAAGGGGGAGGGGGGGGGGAGGGGGAAGGGGGGGAGGGGAGGGGGAAGGGGGGGGGGAGGAGGGGAAGGGGGGGGGAGGAAGGGGAAGGGGGGAGAGGGGGGAGGGGGAAGGGGGGAGGGGAGGGGGGAAGGGGGGGAGGGGGGGGGAGGGGAGGAGGGGGAAGGGGGGGAGGGGAGGAGGGGGAGAGGGGTGGGGGGAGGAGAGAGCAGGCGGATGAGCTTGATGAGGCGCTGCTGCTGCAGGCGGAAGAACTCCCCTGCCCCTTTCTCCAGGATATGGGGGGGGGGGGGGGGAGGAAAAAGGGGGCAGGGGGGAGTGGCAGAAGGGAAGATTGGAAAACTGAAGTGCAATCCCGGAATGAAATGCTGGGGCTGGAGGGCAGGAGACTCCAGTGACAGTGACAGTGGAACCGTGAAACAGGAACAGATTCACAAAGGAGACGCTGTGAATGAACGACAGAAATCAAGAGCAGTCCATGGAAGTAAGCTTGGCAGGCCAGGTCAGGGTTCGCAAGGTGGGTAGGCGAGAGAAGCAGCTCATGGTGTTTGCAGCCAGCCAGCCAGGCGCCAGTCAGCGCCTGGAAGTGGATGCACATGCACGCCAGGCTCCAGCTGCTCACCTCGGGGTTGAGGTTGTTGACCCGGTCAACGTCCCTGCCTCACCTCGGGGTTGAGGTCGTTGACCCGGTCAACGTCCCTGCCTCACCTCGGGGTTGAGGTCGTTGACCCGGTCAACGCTCCTGCCTGCCTCACCTCAGGGTTGAGGTCGTTGACCCGGTCAACGCCCCTGCCTCACCTCGGGGTTGAGGTCGTTGACCCGGTCAACGCCCCTGCCTCACCTCGGGGTTGAGGTCGTTGACCTGGTCAATGGCGTCCTCCACGTCCCCCCGCTGCACCGCCTGCTTCACCGCCATGCGCTCCGCCACCGCCCCCAGGTCCGCGCCCGCTGTAACACAGAAAGACATGGGAATTATCTGAGAAACAACCAGTGTGTTCATGCTTTTGCGAAGAATACGTTTTTACACAAAGTTGCTGCCACATAAGACCCTCAGATGGTGCTCAATCGCTGCACCGCCTGCTTCACCGCCATGCGCTCTGCCACCGTCCCCAGGTCCGCGCCCGCTGTGAAGCAGAGAGGGAGGGCGGATGGAGGAAGGTGGAGGCGGGGGACGGCGGAAGGCAGGGGAGGGCGGAAGGGGGAAGGTGGGGGAGGGGGATGGCGGAAGGCGGGGGAGGGCGGATGGGGGAAAGTGCGAGAGGGAGGATGGAGGAAGGCAGGTGATTCGCGCCCCATCTCAACCACTAATTCTTCCCCATTAGTTGCCCCAGGAAGGGGAAAAAAGGGGGAAAAGGAGGCGCGGACAAAAAGGAAAGAGATAAGGGTGTGATATGTGCGCAGCGAAATTACGAAAAGGTGGAGTTTTGAGGGGCACGGTTGGGTTGTGTACAGGCATGGTCGCGCTTTAACGCCCCGCGACTCACGGTCTGTCCCGGATTCAATCTCGAACTTGCGTGCCGCGTCCACGTAGCCCTCCGTTACAAGGTAATTCATTACAAGCTTGTTCATGTCCTCCGCGCGCACTGCCGCCGCGTCCATGCGCGCCTCCCACTCCGCGCGCCGCACCACCTTCCGCATCATCGTTCCGCCGCCACTCCTGCCGGTCTCCCGGCGCTCTACAATGCGCTCGATGATGCGGCGCAGGTACGCGATTCCGCCGTCCCCGCTAATGGTGACGCGCTACAAACACCTGTCTCGGCTGAAAGTGACACACACGTAGCGACTCGCGGATAACCGACTGCTGCTGCTAAATTTCTTAGTGTGCGTGCGACCAGCGAGTAACGTACAACTGTGCCTTAATCACTCAGCCGTCGCGCGAGTCCTTGAGCACGCGTGCAGCAGGAGCAGGGGGACCGAGAGGCGACCAGCTTCCGAGGGCGGTGCTTGAACCAGGCGATCGATATGCGTTCACCATGAATCGCCACTTACTACATAAACGCATGGCGGGGCAAGGAAATAAGGGCGTGTCCAGCGCGTACATTTTGGGGAATCTAGTACCTTCTCACGTCTCGCAGTTCAAAAAAGCTCATTGTACCTAAAAACGAATCCAGTGTGGGTTGAGTCCATACTGGCTGTGCGTTCGAGTGCGCGGGCTAACCTGCCCACACGCAAATTTCTACAGTGCCCCGAACGCATGGAAACCGAGTTTACTTGTTCCCTCGTCAATCGTCGCGCACGAATTCTCGCGCGAGCGAAAATTTCACGCTTGAGCGAAAAGTACTGTAGTGGGCAGGACGCAATTCTGTACCCTTGTTCGCGCGCATGCTGATTCCAGTAACGTGAGTCAGACGACTCGATGTACGTGCAGGGGGTGTGCCGTCTCGTGAACAAAAGCTGATCGTGTCTAAAATTTCTGTAAAAGGCAGTGTTACATCCCGAAATGTGGTAACCGAGCTGGTTTATGAGCTGTAAATGTACGCGCTGGACACTCCCTAAACACACTGTTTGTTTCCAAAAGAATTTTTGCTGAGAGGAATTTTTGAGGGAGGTGTGGGAATGTGTGATGTTACCTGTCCATGCGTTGCAGTACGGTGCTGTAAGATTAAAAAAAAAAACTGCTTGCATTACCGTTTTGAACCCTGAGGAAACCGAATCGGAACGCAGACAACTTCCAAAGGCCAATTTAGGGCGTATTCTTAGCTCCGGGTATCCGGTGTTTGTGTCATCCAAAAATTGTGGTAGCCAATTGGAAAACCCGCGGTCCGGAATTTGATTTTTCCGATTGGATACCTCAAATTTCGGATGACATGAAGCCGGGATGACCCGAAGCCAGAAATACGCCCTTTTTTGTCGGAGATGAATCCGTGAGGCCACACACACCCATTTTTGCGTAACTCAGGTCCGCCTCTAGGGTTACAGTTACACCTGACATCGCCAAAATTCTCGTCAGCCAGCCTGGAGAACGTGCGAGTGGTTGGGCATGTACAAGTACACCCTGTTTCTCGCTAGATTGACATCGGCTGTATGAACCGAAACCGTTTGTAGAACACAACGTACCAGCACGTTCACGACTGTCAACTGGGTGCTGCGAGCTGTTGACTTTATCTGCGCAAGAAGTGTGGCTGAATGAAGATAGCCGATTACTGTACGTTCACATGTGATAGCGAAAGTGGCAAAAACAATTGGCGACAGAAACGATTGGTCTAATGAATTCGAAATGAAACATTCAATCAACCCCACTGTTGAGACCATGCCACATGTGAATATCTACAATGAACCACTGTCACGTTAGGAACAAAAGTGTGAAACACAAGACTGAAATCAAATAAATCATTTATATTCAAGGCGATTCGGCAAACAACAATGGCGCGGACTTATTGGAAATATTTGAGTCACCACCAAAAAATGTTTGTATGTCCTAGTTTTACAACAATGGCACGAACTTCTCGTACGCTATATTAAGCGCACTGTTTGCATGACCTCCGGTCTAATAAAATGCTACGCATGATGCACATGCGGAGTGGACCACCATAACATTTTTTTGGCCCCCTTACGTTGGTCATTACCAGAGTGTTGTAAGGTAAGACTAACTAGCTTCCACACATGCTGAAACAACCGACGGCCATTTCGCGTGACATGTTCGACATTATGTCATTCTTCAAACGTTTACCTGGATGGGTGGTTCGTGCACTGAAACGGATGGGGCTAAAATGCCTTATGCGCTAAGGAGAAGGAGGAGCTCAGGCATGGAAGCTGTAAATACGTGTTGTGATAAGATTTCACGCTGCTTATGCGGCTTGGTGTCATACCCGAAGATTGTTACAACTTCGTTGAAACTGCTCAGCAACAAGCGCAAATTCCGCGGACAACCTACGCGTGTGAAATGTTAACTGTGGCGAGGGCTGTAAGGAATGTAGAACAGTTTCTCTACTTTGCTACGACAACGGTTTCAACATATAAAGGCCTCTGGCAATAGAAAAATTCCATAGACCGTGAAATTTTGTTGAAGAGTTTGACATTGAAGAACATGTGAAGTGGCGATAGAATTGGAAGGCCTCCATAAACACAGTGGTGAGCACTTACAGTCGTTAAGCGCATGCTCCTTCCAAATACCTAGCATTTTTTTATTGCATCGAAATATTGTGGTGACCTAGATGTTTTATAACTAAAAGTGCTCCTAATTGTTACATTTTGTTGTGTACCCGAGCTCTTTAGGACGTTCATAGAGAGCGTGACCACAATATGTTTTGTTCTTCGGCAAGCAAAAAAAAAAACCCATGCTATACATTCGTTCTCAAGGAATCCCACCCCGCAACCTCATCTCCGTGCTTGATATTTGCAATCGTGTCTTCATGGTTCAACTCGAGCGTGTTAGTCGTGATCTAAATGTAGCAATTGTTGAGGAAATGGAAGATCTCCAGTAGAGGCCCGCGCAGGCGCGGAACTGTTGGCGTTTGCCATGGGACTGCTTGGCCTTCTTATACCATGGCTTGGACGTTTTGCATCTTCGGCGCTAGCATACCCATTTGCAGTGGACATGCTGAGTTAGGCGGTAGACGGGACATGTGCTACACGACAAGCTTTGATAGCGTGTCGTCTAAATGTAGCAATTGTTGAGGAAATGGAAGATCTCCAGTAGAGGCCCGCGCAGGCGCGGAACTGTTGGCGTTTGCCATGGGACTGCTTGGCCTTCTTATACCATGGCTTGGACGTTTTGCATCTTCGGCGCTAGCATACCCATTTGCAGTGGACATGCTGAGTTAGGCGGTAGACGGGACATGTGCTACACGACAAGCTTAGATTTTCTCCCCGTCGACTTCAATTCGCCACACAATCACCTAATGGACTTAGATCAAGAGCAATGTCACCTAAACTACCTCAGTACTTAGGATACAGCTCACGAAATCAAAGAGACTGGCTTTCCTACCTTGATGTACACGTTTAGCTGCAAATTTTGGTGTTCACGCTACTCCTTAGAGTAGTATTTCAGCCACTAGTCCACTAGCGCGGTCTGTATTTTTCTTCCTCCACGTTATAGCCTTTACACGCGCGCGGTTATAGCCTCCTTTAGCGGCAACCGCAGGTACATTTTGCATAGGTTAGGGGCGGCCGCTTGCACTGTTACGGGGAGGTCGCGAGCACACGTCGAGGCGCATTCAATGGGAGAGCGGTTTTTGGGCGCGAACCGTGTCAGGCACTGACCTTGATCGTGCCAACTCCAGGGCAATTCCAGGAGCATCCCTCGCTGCCCTCGGAATCCCATCCTTCGGGGAGGGTTTCTAGTTGGGGCAACTCTCCCCAGGTGCTGCCCATGAAGAGGGCTTTGCGAGGAGGCGGGCTTCGGAGGAGCAATTATGGCAGGAGGCACAATTGCAGCAACAAGCAGCGAGTCAGCAGTCTCCAGAAGAGCGTCATGACCGCTGGGTAATGCGGATGCTGCTGCTGCAAGTGATGGTGAAAGCGGTGGCGAAGGTGGGGGGAGTTGTGCAGGACAGAAGAGAGCATGTGTGGGTGGCAGGAGTGCTACTGGAGGTGCTGGACCTACTACCGGGTCTACTCCAGCCGCTGGTGCACCTGCTGCTGCCGCTACTGCTGTTGCTTCCACTACTGTTGCAGCTCGTGCTACTGTTGGGCGTCCGCCTGCTGCTACTGCTGCTGCGCGTCCGCGCGATGCTGCTCCTGCTGCTGCGCCCACTGCTTGTCGGCGCGCTGTTGGTATTTCTTGGGCCTCTATCAATGCTATGCGGAAGGCCAACAAGCAGCCAACTATGTCACGGCTTGGGTCGAAGAGCGACAGCTGCGCGAGGGCCTTGTGATGCTCTTTGCCGGTCTCGACATGCTGTTCCGATCTGTCGACAGGCAAGTGGTAAGATCTTAATTAGTCTCTTTTGTACATACGCTAGGAGATGAATTGTTGACATGTGTTCAATAACCTCAAACCAATCCCTCCATCCGATCCATGTCTGTGCTCTTCCACATGCCAGTTTCATAACCCTGTCACGCTGCTGATCCCCGATACGACACATCATCTTGACACTCGTTTCCGCCTAGCACGCGACCTGCTGTCCGCGACCGAGGCGGTTACAGCACAACTTCGGCAGTTGTTGACAGGCGACGGACTGGCGGGGCGGGTGACACTCACCATGGACATATGGACCAGCGAGAATAACATCGCGCTCATGGTGGTAACTGCTGACTAGGTCACCTCGGACTTCAAGCTGCAGCAGATGGTTATCGACTTCAGGCCGCTGGAAGACTCCCACATGGGGGACAAGATAGCGAAGGAGTTGGAGCAGGACATACAGGAGTGGACACTGGGTGGTGGTGTGTTCTTCGGCGTGACCACGGACAACGCCGAGAACAACAACTGGGCAGTTCGTCTGCTGGCTGGCTTCCCTGACAACACACTGTGGTCACGTCTGCGTAACCCCCCACTGTTGTCCCTGTCTCAAGACTTGAAGTAAGTGGCATCCTCTACTGCGGTCGGAACGGTTTTTTGACATTCAGAGACAGTATGCAGCGACCCGTGCGGCGACGGCGGCAGAGAGGGGCACTGCACAGGGAGGTAGTGCGCGGAAGGTACATGATGATTTGCGCCTGATCGTTGACTCGCCGACGCGCTGGGGTTCCACGCTGGAGATGGTGGTGAGAAGGTGGATCTGCGCATTCCTCTCACGATATACTTCGATGAGTCTAGCGTAAGTATAGGGTTAAGTGCTGAGCGTGGGATGGATGTATATCATCACATTTACCGTTGTCCCATCAATATGGCCCTCCATCCCATGCGCAGCATGCCATAACCTCACATGATGGTAAGTGCTTATGATGAATGGGTGCATTGCACGTGGTTTCTCGTTTGTGCCTGCATTCTAACACTATGGAGGACCCTGTTTCCCATACACTCCATCCCTTACCCACCCTGGAAGGCATGTGCTAATAACGAATAGGTGGCAGATGCATCTCATGTGAATTCTAACTTGTACCCATATCCCATCACTATGGAGGACACCAATTCCCATACACTTCATCCTTTACCCACTTTGGAAGGCACATGCTTATAACGAATGGGTGGCAGATGCATCTCTTGTGGATTCTAACTTGTACCCATATCCGATCCTTACCTATGGCCCTATGTCCCCTGCACTCCAACCCTTACCCTCTCCAACCCTTTCCTCTCAGACCAACATCTCCAAGGCCACACGCGAGGCATGGGCAGCGATCAGGCTGTCCGATGCTCACTGGGCATCCCTCATTGAGCTGCGTGCTTTCCTCGAGCCTTTTGGAGCTATCACCCTGTTCGTGGAGGGGTCCTTATACACCACCATGGGAGCTCTTGTGCCCCAGTACAACATGCTCCTAGATGTTCTGGATACGAACTTGCGTTCGCCAGACGTCTTGCAGCTGTGCAGGGACCTATCCACAGCGGCTTTGAGCAAGCTGGAGCGCCACATGGGGGGAGTGAGCGAGGAGGCGGCGATTGCCACCTTCCTAGATCCGCGCCTCAAGACCGTGACCTTAAGGATCAGGGCCCGGGGGGCAAGGAGTAGCGCGCCCATTGTGGTGAAGGCGGGGGACCATGCTAGGGGGGCCAGGGCACTCGACTTGGACAAGGAGATGGTGAAGGCACAAGTACGCGAGCGTCTTCCACCGTACCAGGCAGCGGCCCGTGCAGCGGCAGAGGCACGCCTTGGAGGTGAGGTCACGAGCGCTAGGGGAGTGGCGCGGTAGGGTGCGGCAGTGGTCAGGGCTGCAGGGCTTAGGGGGGCCAGGTCGCGTGGCGTGCTCGACTTTCAAGCATGTTGTTTGCTGAGCTGGCAAAGGTGGAGGCAGAGGAGGGGGTGCGGGCACATGACGAGGTGGACCAGTACTTGGCTGAGGCGATTCAGGAGGATGGGTGCTCCTTAGTGTACTGGAGCGGGAGGGAGCAGCAGTTGCCCGGGCTTAGGGCCATGGCACGCGATTATCTGGGTATCCTCGCCACGTCTGCGGTGAATGGCCTTCAGTCAGAGCAGGAACATCATTTGGGGGTAAAGGCATCGTCTAAGCCCAAAGCAGACGCGTGCGGCCATGATGATCAAGACTTGGCAGGATCACCACCATGGAGAGAGGCTTGAGGTTAGTGGTGGCACTAGGACCACGCTGGCACAGCTGTGCCTTGAGGCAGAGCTGTTGGGGTTGTGAGAGACAATTGCCTGGGGAGAGTTGGGGCGTTGACATTTGTCACTGTGTCTTTTAGGGCACCGCACTGTTATATTTATCAGCGACCTTCTTGATTTTGTGCTAGACTGCATTTTTTGTTGCCGCTTTGAATCGATTAGCGAACTATTTTATAATGTGGTTAACAACATCCATTTGTAAAAGCTTGTCAAAACAAGAAAATTTATCGTACATAGCACAGAAAGTACTCTACACACAATGCAATGATGAGTAGTTCCATAGTCTGATGCGCAATATATTCTAATCTTATCATAAGAACAACTAAAACATGGAAACCCGGCTGTGTAGGCCCGGGTCGGGCCAAAACCTTCAAGAGTCTGGCCCGAGCCTGGTCCGACCCGACCCGACTCGGGAGTCCGTGAGGCCCGGCCAGGTCGGGTCGGGTCGGGCCGGGCCGGGCCGGTTGCTCAACTCTAGAATAAGGGTGGAGGAGGAATTGGCCAAGTCGACGCCTGCACCAGAGAAGCCGAAAAATCCAAAGGAGCCTGGATGGATGATCTGATTATTTGGGCCTATCCTCGAGGGCGAGCGGCTGTGCAGGTTGTGCGACACTATTTTATCTTAGTAGGATGACACAACCACCTCTGGCATGCGCCACTATGTGTCATAGCACATAACGCACTACGTCATATGGAAGTATCGTGGGCACTTCAACCCCCACCTTAGGAGATGACAAGACATTTCCTGAGGGGGGTATACGATGGCGTCCCGAACAGGGAAGTCAAGAACTACCCCAACATCACCACTTGGCCCGTCCTGCCGGTAGGGCTCTGGACCAGAGCTGTAGGTAGAGAGGCGGGGGGCATTGAGCGCTACATTATGCAGCAGCTCAATCGCACGAAGTTGCGCCAGTTGATCACCAAGATGATGGTCACGTGCGACTTGTCATTTCGCCTCGTCAATCATCCTGCGGTGAGCACACTCCCATGTTGCTCGCTCCAACCCTTGTGATGCTTGCTCCAACCCTTGTGTTGCGTGCTCTAATTGATGCTCGTTCCAACCCTTGTGTTGCATGCTCCAACCCTTGTCATGCTCGCTCCAACCCTTATGATGCTCGCTCCAACCCATTGAGTTGCACGCTCCAACCCTTGTAATGATCTCGCCAACCCTTGTAATGATCTCGCCAACTGTTGTAATGATCTCGCCAGCCCTTGTGATGATCGCATTAACCCTTGTCGAGCCCGCTCCAACCCTTGTGATGCTCGTTTCAACCCTACAAAGAGTTGCTCACGTACCTCAACAGCCACTGCACTGAACCGAACAAGCTATCCACACGCTGGGCTGTGGCTCGTGACTCGGTGATCTTTGCCGACCGAGTGTTGTAGTCTGTCATTGCTAAGCTGTCGAAGACTAAGGGCTTGGTCTCCTACACCACCGACATTTGGACCGGGCCGAATGGGAAGAGTTAAATGGTGGTTACGAGCCACTATGTCTCCAATAGTTGGGAGCTTCATCATGTAGTCCTCGCGTTTCGCGAGATCTCTAGTGGGCACAGTGCTGATGCGATTGCAAAGGTGGTGGAGGAGGTGGTGGAGCAGTAACAGTAGTAGGAGCGCTGCTTTTGTACGACGACCAACAACGCGTCCAGCAACATCCTAGCCCTCTAAATCCTTTTGGAAGAGGGGGCTCGGAAACTGTACTTCCGCGAGGGCGCACACTTCCGGTGTGTTACTGCCGCCCCAACCCTGCCTTCCTTCCATTCCCTCACTTCCAAGTGTTTTCTTCCCTGCCCTCCATGCCAACCCTATTCATCCCGTCACTGCTGTCCATCTCCCCCTTATAAACCATGACTACACTCCAAACCAACCTGCTCCCTTTACCCTTCCCACACTAAGTGCTTGGCTCTCATCGTCAACTTGGCTGTGCAGTCTTCGCTGAGTGTCATACCATTGCAGATCCTTCAGATAAAGTTGCGCAGCCTTACTTCATGGGTGGGCATGTCGCCCAAGCATTCTGCGACGTGGATGGGGTTCCAGATGGCGAACACAATGCTGTTGGGTGGGCTGTACAAGCTCGTCTAGGATAACCGTGTCCGATTGAGATCAACGCACGAGGTGGTGGCGCAGTTCCTGCTGGTGCGACCACTCCTGAACATGTTTCTAATTCCAGACCAAGTAATACACTACACAGTCTGGCTATTTACAATGGCGTCATTCCAAGTCTTGTTGAACGTTGAGCATGTTGTACCCAAGCCTAGGCCATTCAACGTACTAAGCATCTTTCCACACTTCAACCCTTCACACACCACAGCGCACGATGCGTGGAGAGCGTGAGAAATCCAAACTGTTGCACCTTGGTGACAAGGAGTGGGATGCCCTAGTGGCCTGGAGGGGTTCCTTAGCCCTTTTGCCAGAGTTTCCAGGGCAGCGGAGGGGTCAGCATTCCCTACAGTGTCGATGGTGTTGCCGTACTACAAACGACCTCTTCAACAACTTGGAGCAGCAACTTCATTTCAGACCGCCACTGGTGGTGTGCCCACTCGTGGAGGCAGCGCGGGGGCATTTGAAGAAGTACGACTTCGCTTCCGACGACGAGTATAGGACACGTTCTTAGACCCGTCCTTGAAGGCAGAGTACTTCAGCATGCCCCACTAGGAGAGCAAGCACCCAGAGTTGGTGATGATGAGGGGTGGGAGGGTGCGGCCGTCCATCAGTGCCGAGTGGGTCGTTGCCTTAGTGAAGAGGCGTGTGGCAAAGTGACGAGCACCAGCAGTACGACAGGTGTCGTCAGTGGTTTCCCCCGCCGCTCCAAGTTCTATAGTCAGAGTAGTTGACAATGATGACGAGTTCCTCCCTAGCAGGGAGCAACTTCGGGCGCGGGTGGCAGCAAGGGCAGCAGCAGAGTGGAGGAAGGGGGAAGTGTGGGGGGGATCTGCCACCAATGGACGAGGCGAAGAGGTACGTGGCCGAGCAGCCGATGTACACTATGGCGGCGTTGTAGTAGTGGCAGCAGGCACAGAACATAAGCACACTACAGCAGATGGCGCGAGAATATCTTGCAATCCCTGCCACCTTTGCTGCTAGTGAGAGGGCTTTCTCCATGGGTAGGCACTTGATATCATGGAAGAAACAGTGCCTCAACAACAAGCGTGTGAGCGCATGCATGTCTTTAAAGTCATGGTACAACACTCACCCACGAGAGACCGTTGGGGAGGCGAAGAAGGTATGGGGCGCCTACATGATAACCCTAGAGCTGGCATTAGAGGATGAGGGGATTGAGGAGGGGGAGGAGGAGGTAGAGGAGGCAGCGGATGAGGCAACTCAGTTGGTTTTGGGGTGGGGGAGGAAGGCGCGGGGGGTTGACGGGTTCGCCTGGGAATGCTGGAGATGGCGTAGAGGAGGGCGGGGGGCTGGCAGTCTAGGGCCTGATCTAGGCCGAGAGAGCTTGTTGGTTTGACCTTGTTGATGTGGTTGGACATTGATTCAGACTGTGGCATCGTTTAGGGTTAACAACTACACAATCTGCTCTGTAGTTGCTTGCATGCCTAGCATGCAGGACAGTATTTTAGATTGCAAGGATTAATGACAATATTGTTTGGATGTTCGTCACCATCTCCCCCATCCCTTATCACACGTGTTCCACTCTATCCCGACATATCTAGTGGGGGAGTCCCGCCAGTGGGGCTGCTGTACTTATATTAATGAGCTGAAACAGGGCCGATAGTTACACATTCTGAAACAAGTTTCGATGAAATAAAAAGGGGTTCCAAGGGGTGGGAAAGTGATCGATAAGAGCATCTAAAATGGTAGTTTAACCCATAGATCACCGCCAATACACAGCTCATAGATGCCCCAAGAATTTAATGGTAAACCAAACATGAAGAATTTTGCCCACCATTTACATATTCGCCCACATATGGGAAACATCGAATATCGCATTTCACAAAAATACAGTTCTGTGGTTCGCCATTTTAACATGTTCGTCAACGGACAGATAAGCACAGTTGATATTCGCCCAATGCTCATGTCTAGCCTGTAGGTCTAGGCGGCCAACAACATCGATGACGAAGAAAGGGTTGATGATACTATTGCCTTGGGTGCAGAATTTGTTGGCTATGACTGGAGTTGCTTGTGCCCATCTGCAAACATAGCTAAGGGACGTATGTTGACGAGCACTATGAATTCCAAGATCTCCCTTGCGGATTGGCAAAAAATATTGTGACCGAGCTAACTGTCCTTCTACCGTGTTAAGGTCCCAAGAGTACAGTAGAAAGAGCAAAACCAGCGTAACCAGAATGTGGTCAACCCAATCATTATATGCGAGGGTGTGCAATGCGACTTGCGGGTTTTCTATGCGCAAGAGTCAATGTACTGCAACTCTAAGGGAGGGAGCTAGAGTGCGTCTAGCCATCCCAATGATGCCCAAACCTGACACTTTGCCGGCTGCACAGTAAGGCCAAGCTCTGCAAACTGCTGCTGCAAGGTGTTCAAATCAGTAACATGACGATGCGACAGTCCTAAGACGTCCAAAGGATGCCAAGAAAGGCTTTGTAGACGGCACAGATGGCCAGTTGCTACGCGATGGCATACATAAATAGACTGCAGGAATCCTCATGGTGTTCTCCGCGCTGCGATTGGAGCATGTGAGGTAGAGGATCTGAGTGGAATAAGAGAGGCGAACTGATTGCACCCCATCCGAATCCACGCCCTCCACAATGACGCTGGGCCTCCCGGGCCGTGCCGCTCGATGAACTGTCCCACGTGGTTGACCGATCCACCACCGAAGTCGTCATCGCAACCAACGTAATGAATCTTCAAAAGGATCGTCGTACGCACAATCTATGTGTGTACCGTAGTATAGTCCAATTGCCACACACGAAATTACGAGTGGGTTAACGTGGTTGAAAACTCAATGCAGATAAACAATCCTTTAGACACGTACTTCACGTTGCTGAAGA